CATACTGGAATCTATTACACCTTTACAGTTAGCAAAAGCAACAGCAAGATTATAAGTACTTATAGTTGAGGTTAATATTTTCATTGCTTAAGATCAAGAATACCTATGTCAGTAGTGTACATTACCATTCTTTCGTCAGTTGTCTACTGCTATTATACATGATTTCCATCCTATTTATTTAGTGTCAGAAGCATTCTGCTGACATTGATTAATGTCAACAAGGCAGTATTGCTAATGGATATTATCAATCTCAGATGTAGTGAGAGTTATTCTTAAAAAAGAAAACAAGCATTCTAACTTTCTAACTAGTTACGATGACTACTTTCACGTCCAAGCTTACCAGAGGCTGATAGAAGGACATTGAGATTGTTGATTCCATATCATCTCAGATTCTAAGTGTTACGCAATGCAATCATAATCATAATCAGTGATTATATTACAGGCTATTACGCTACTACGTTGCCTAAATTTATAAAACTTAAGAAAGTATTGTTACTAACAATGTTTTAGTGCTATAGTATAAAGCTGTTTTGTAGATTATAGTACAGAGTATTTACTGATTGTGAGCCTTCTAAAAGTGTTGTTCTTAGATCTTTCGGCCGATGAGGGTAGTAATCTATAAAAGCAGCTCAAAGTAAGTGCTTTCCGTTAGACGATTATATTTGTCAGGAAGTAATTCGTGATACAAGACTGTTAATGTGTTTTATAAGTCATGTATGATCATCATCTCAGCAATCTTGCAGCCAACGTGATATAAATATGTTTTTAAGCACATTTCATGAATGAATTTTAAAAGTAGAGAAAGACAGGCTTGGTAACTCATACTTTAAAATTTTAGTTCATGTGCGACACTGTCTAAAGATAATTAAAATAGTTTCTACCAGTCTTAACTTGGAATCATAGGATGATGCATGTCATATGAGTGTACTTCAGTAGCCAATCGCATATGAGATATTGAGTATAGTTTAGATTGTATAATCTACTAGTAATCCACAAATTTAATCCTTCGCTTCGCTGAAGTAATTCGTTTCCTATCGTATGCAAATCACTCCAGACCAGCTCTAATTTGGCCAGATAATAGGAAAAGTAATTATAGTAGAAACATAATCCTAATTGCAATCTTTAGCTAGGCTGCAGTCATTCATTTCCTAGGATATGCAAATCATGAATCAATCCGAATAGGCAAAGCCACTAAATTTTATTGTAATTCGCCAGATCTGGATCAGAAACAGCATTGAATTTTGACTTCGTCTAGTCGAATTGATCCTAAATCATTTCAGGTCAGCTCTAACTGGGCTAGAAAATGGAAAACTAAATATGATTTAAACGCAATCCTAAATCTAATCCGTAGCTTTAACAGCTGACGAAGTGAATTCGTTTCGTCAACAAGAAAATATCCAAGATATAAAGAAGGATATAATAGAAATTGTAAAAACCCGAACAGATCGTTCGTTTTATATCTTCTGTAACATTTTAAAGAACCATCCAAATCCAGCATTGCAAACTCTGGGCAATAAATTAAGAAAGGATGTGGAAGCACCTGAAGATCTTGGTGAGTACTCGTTATAAATACCGCCTTGTTTACAGCCATGATTCTTTTCTGGACCGCTGCTGTAGACACACTTTATACAATGTAGTTGTATTAGCCATCAACTCATGCTGCATCTAATCAGGATTTAGTTTGAATTCGTTGATATGCTGTCAATTTACTGCCATAAACCCATGCCTATAAAATTGACCTATAGATTACCTGAGCAAAGCAATTGCGATGCAGCAACTAAACTGACCAGAAGCGTCAGTACGTTAGTTTAGCAACTTAAAGTAGTGTCTTATAGATTAAAAATGAGGTTACCAAAATAAATATCAAAAATTATATATTTCAAGCTAGTCGATAAGATCAATTTAAAGTCTTATATCAATCAAGGCCGAGTTATTTAGGGCAAAAGTTTGCTCCACGTAAATACGAATTGTAATGGATTACATCAACATGCCATTTCATGTTTGCTAGATATCCTCCATGATGTTCCAGAATTGCCAAGCCATCATCTTATTGTACGTGATTCATTTGTTAACACTACAGCAACGGCTCTGATGAAAATGAATTTCAGTCAAGGTCGATTACTGGTTCATGGCATCCCAGGAAGCGGAAAAAGCTGAAGTTCCAAAACAGCTACTGTTTGCAGTGTATTTTTGATTGCTTCCAAAATACTGCAATCTTGCATCCTTAGGAAACGGTACATCCACTGTTGGTGATACGGTCGGTTTGCTAGAATTTTTCTGGAAATAAGAGTGGGTAGTTTATTAGGCCTTGAAATAGAGGGGGATGCTGCATCAATAAAAGTTAAACATTTTGATGCTGTCAACTTCGATACAATCTGAATAGGCGGAAGTTATCATCCTAATCCAATATTTAGAATATTATGCACATTCCTTATACGTTGCATCAGAATCCTGAAAACTGAAATTACATGTAGCTCGGATAAAAATCGTGGTTGGTGCGTAATGTAGACTTACCATTCTTTCTTTGGATAATTGAAAGTGGGATGTTTTAGAGGGATTACACTCGTTTATTAGGGAATCATAATTAAAACTTGTGCCATAGTTCTTCTGTTTGACATTTTTTTTTTGAAAATGATTTAATCACTGTTCAAGCAAAGCCAAGATCTGATATAAAACCATAGAATGAAGTAATGGACCCCTAACTACCAACTTCGTTAAATAAAGTAAAATAGCCTTTTTTAGCTTTAACTTCATACTGTTTGATATCCAAACAGGATCGTGGTTTAAAAACTGTTTTGATAGTAGTCTGCACAGGAGATAAAAAGCGTAGAATACTAATTAAAACAATTTCATACCTATTTTTTAGAAAAAATAGTTGATACATAGTAGCAGAAATAAGCAGCACCAAAAACCAACCATTGCAAATAAGATCAAAATGCAAGCCAGTAGTTTCAAAATTATCTGTGCTTACTCGAGCATCGATATCAGTCCCAGTAAAGAAAATTGCTCATTAAGAAAATTAAAAAACTAAAGTGAGCCCAGTCAAGCAAAAGATTGATGAGCTTCTTCGGCAAAAAGAGCAGTTGCACAAATGGATATCTACTCCTGCTGAGAATTTATATGTACAATATTGTGCTTAGCTGCAATCTGATGAGGTGATATCTGTAGGTGTAAATTTTTCTTTCCTTACCTATATTTACATTTACTAGTATAAAATTTTTTGCAAAAATTTTGCTGGACACTTTTCTTTTGTTTTTTTTTGCATTATTTCTGGAAATTTCGGGCAGATATCTCTCAGAAACCAATCCTTTCTGTACTTTACATTTGGACTGTTTATACAGCTAACTGTAAGCATAAGCGATTTCAAATATTCCGTTCAATTCTTATAAATTATTTTCAATCAGTATTAGCATATTCTTATTTATTCTAGGCTTAACAAGTTATCTATTCAATTCCGAAAATATCGCCGCAGTAACTGAAGTTGCATACTGTTAATAAAGTCTGCAAGGTTTTAAACTGTTCATTTTGATTTAGTCACCTTTACATTATCCTGCCCATTGGTTTTATAGAGATATAAGAGGTTGAAGAGGTTTTCTTGGCCTATATAGTCTGGTTATCATTATTGCTAAAGCCATGTAATGCTTTTCAGCAGATCCATTATTACCGAATAAACGTACATTCTACTGTAAATTTCTTATGATTTTAAGCTTTCCCCACATTTAAGTGTGAATTCAGTCTCCATACTTAATTTTAGCTATTACCGCAATTGAAAGAAAATGATTAGGGCCGTGCAATAAATTGTGCTGATAAAGATGTATAACTTTAAACTTTGTCCTCTCATGCTGTAAGTGAAATGAAATTAGCCCTAGATTTACTCCGATTTGAATTTTAATCGATTTATAAATAGACATAGCTGTTATCCTCTAGCAAATCGCCTTCTGTTCAATGACTGATATCGTCTTAATCGCAAGCTTCTGTATAGCGTATTTTATTCTCCTTTGCCTGATTTGATACAAGTTCTTGCATGACTAATTAGTCAAACTACAATCTACCATTCCACTACGACTGTAGGCTCTTATATCAGCCATTAATGGACATAAATTTATCTTAACATACTGTAAGTAAATGCAAATAAAAGCGACCTCCCCTTAAAGTAATGCAATTAACTGCCAATTCAATATAGTTTTGACCTCTATAGACGGACGGATTGACTAATGCTAATGATTTGAAATGAATTCAACCAGGAGACAAGATATAAAGTCTTCTCAAGAGGTATTTTAATCACTAATTAGAGAGCGTATGCTCGTATTGACAGAGGAATTGTCTGTCCAAGAAGAGACATCAATTGGATAGAAAGTAATGAGCTCGAACAGACTGCCTATATCATAAGCGTTTTTCATGCTAGTTGCTTGTCTAACGGCCAAAGAGTAGCTTCACAGATAGTTCATTTTTTCTCTATATACGTGAATTATTGACTTAGTGGCCGAAATTATTTACGCTTTGGGAAGGTGGTGATTGAAGAGAAATAAAGTTCTTCACGATGAGCTTATTAGTACCGTCTATCATTGTTGCCGTCTCGTGTATTCTTTTAAAGCTTGTTCTCTCGGCTTGGTTGAGTTCAAATCGGATATGGTCAGCTTTAAAGAAGGTGCCTGGACCTAAAGCCCATTTACTGAATGGAAATCTAGATATCATCGGTTCAATCGATGACTATTTACCTAGCGTGAAGAAATTGTGTGAACAATATCCTAAAATGTTTCCGTTATGGTATGGCCCCACCAATCCGGTCTTAATGGTTAGCGATCCTGTTATCGCTCGAGAATTTAACAAATCTGCTAATACCAAAGAGACACACGCACATCGATTTCTTCGCGAATGGACTGGACCGGGGCTGTTGTACTCGAACGGAGAATTATGGGCAAGAAATCGAAAATTATTAACACCTGGATTTCACTTTGATGTCTTGAAACCGTACATGATTGTCTATAACGAATGTACCGATATTCTATTAGAGAAATGGGTCAATCATGCCGAGCAAGGTAAACCATTTGAAGTTTTAGAAGATTTTTGCCTATTGGCTTTCGATATTATTGTACAGTGTGCGTGTTCAACACAGTTAAATCCTCAAACGCACGGCTCCAAGCATCCATTTTTAGCTGCATCTCGTGAAAATACCGCGTTGGTTGAGGCTAGACTATATAATCCACTCTTTTCTAACAGTTTTATATATGGACTATCCTCGAGCGGCAAGAAATTTTACTCTAATGTCGCTTACTCTAGACAGTTTGCTAAAGAAATTGTACTTCAACGTAAAGCTGCTTTAGAAAATCAAGACAATATCAATGAAAGCAGAAAACATCTTGATTTCCTCGATATTATGCTGACTGCTCAGGATAGCGAAGGTGTGGGCATGAGTGTTGATGAAATTGTCTATCAAGTAATCTCATTTTTATATGCAGGGCACGATACGACATCTTCCTCCTTGTCATGGTTGATGTTTAGTTTAGCTTGTAATCCTGAATGTCAAAAGAAATGTCGAGAAGAAGTAGATAACGTGCTTGGAAGTAGAACAGATTTGGTATGGGAAGATTTAGCCAAGCTCAAGTACTTGACACTATGTATTAAAGAATCGCAACGTTTACATACGACAGTGCCGATACTAGCTTATACGTTAGGAGAAGATACCACAGTTGAAGGATACACATTCCCTAAAGGTATGGATATTGAATTTCCTTCTTATGTCTTTCATCACGATCTAAAATGGTATAAAGATCCCGATAAATTCAATCCAGAACGATTTACAGCGGAAAACTCCAAAGGTCGAGATCCCTATGCTTACATTCCATTTGCAATTGGAGCTAGAAATTGTATTGGGCAAAATTTTGCCTTGCAAGAACTAAAAGCAGTTTCTGCTAAAATAATACAGCGCTTCGAGATATTCACCAATGATACATCGTATCATCACATTCCCTCAGTCATTTTGAAAAACAAGGGCGGTATATGGCTATCTTTGAAAGAGCGCAGGTAGATTTCGACAATACACTTTCTGTCAATGCTAATTAGTCTGCAACATAAATAATATAATACAGTCTTGTATTCTACTTCCTGCCAAGGAGAAGATGATGTCTTTGCATTTTATTTACAACCACAATGATTCTATAATAGGCGGTTTTTTTACCATTAATTAATATTGAATTAGAATATTATTCCTATCTGATCGGTTTGTTAAAGTCTAATCCCTTGATGTGTCATTGCGTTTAAACCTTGACATACAAGTGTTGTCTTTACAAACCTTATCTTCACTAAAATTATTCCTCTGTTTCTATTTCAATGTTGAAGATACAACTAAAGTAGCGCTTTTAGACGTAAAGTAGCCATAATTCATTGAGGAAATTCACTTTTGCACAACATAGCTGCACTAACGTTTTGCTCGTAATTTATTTTAAAACGTAGATCATTTTATCTTTCATTATAAATAAAGAGACTCTGTCGTTGAAACCAAGAAGGACGCAGGTTCCTCAATGTTACTTTACAGGATTTTTTGGTCTTTTAATTGAAAGAAAGTTTAGTATGCATGATGGTCGTAATTAACTATCAGCGATAACATTTTACGTGAATATGGCCCAACCTGCTAAACGTTGTGACTTATCCTAAATTGCATAACAATCAATTGCTTTAGCGAAAATTGAGCCCTTTAGCTACACAACTACTCAGAAATGCTCCGGTAAAGCACTGTAAACTCTATATTGGTAGTACTATATGAGCATTCTGAAATATTCTATGGGGTGCACAAGTATATGAAATATCACGAGTGGACGATCCAACTTATAGTTGCCTTAATTTTATATGAATTAGCATATTTAATAAAGGGATTAATCACGCCAATGGCAAAAGTTAGAATAGATTTTGAATAGGGTAAAGATTATAGGAGAACAACAAAGTTTCATCGTCATGATTTCATCGACTGTTCTATCCTGCTGTAGATTATTGCAATAGTTTAGTAAGACATACCGCTTTTAGTGATATGCAATATATGTTCTATGCAAAAACGCAGAAACGATTTTTTCTTTTATATCTACATTCTATTCTTCGTGTCATTATATAGATATGCTATAGATGTGCTCTGAAGGAATGCTACAAATTGCTAGTGTAACACTTGATGGTGATACTTTATGTTTAGTACTATTCATAAAATCTAATTTTACTGGAAATAAGTGTCTCTACTTTGAACGCTATTAGCTTATTACTGGGGTATCATAAATAATTTTGTAGTAACATTTGGCAAGTCGAGATTTCTCTTACCTCCTGATATGTCATTCGGTTGGCAATTCTATATTTTGTATTGAATTTGTAATTGCTTGTTTATGTAAAAACGAAATAAATTACATTAAGATGATCATCACCGATGATTTAAGCAGCATATCAGCTATTTAGCAAATTATTATTCGCCATATAAATGAACCGAGAAGTGAATTGTACTTCTATAGTTCCATTTATAATTATATATACCTATTTATTTAGTGAGATTGAATATGTATAAGTATAAGTAAACCACTACAAAGTAATATTAACTACAGTATTAATATGTATATACATTTGAATCGTATGATTGAGTCAATCAGTGATCATTAAAATGAAATAGAATATTATAAGAATATATTATAAGAATAACACTAGCAATTAAAGCGCATATCTGCTATTTAGTAAATTATCATACGCCATATGTATGAATCGAGAAGCAAATTGTGCTTCTACAGTTCCGTTTATCATTATATGCACTAAAAAATAATATTAAATTCAGTATAAATTTGCATACATTTAAATTCCATATCACATATGGTTGAGTCAGTCAGTGATCATTTTAAACAAGTCGATGCTTATTACTTTCTAGCAGAACTATTATCCAGGTTCCGATATTGCACGTTCTATTAGATTAAGTTTCATCCTCGTATGCAATTTTGGAATAATGTTATTTATATAACCCGCTAGCTTTGTTTAAATTACGGAGGAGTATAACTACGTGTATACCACCTTTTTTTGAATATCAATGAATGCGGAGGCAGTGCCAACGAAGTTGCATCTATTGAGAAATTGCTTAGGATAAATTGCAGCATTATCTTCATCACTGCATATGTCAACACTACTATATGTCCGTTATTCACCATTTGGTTGGATCTATTGGTTTGCTTAAGCGCACCCAAAGCAAAATTGATAAGAGCTGGAAAATACGGTAGGCTTTAATAACGGTATGTCTTTATTACTATCGAAAAATTGCTTGATGATTAGTGTAGTACCTACAGAGTAACAACTTGTAGAAGGATTCTATGGCAATTTTTTCGCCATACAGTAGCCTGAACACAACGCAGTAGAGTAGTATTAATATGCTACATAAGGTAGTATGCGCTATCTTGAATATTCTTAACTGGTCTTTTCAAAGGCATCTCCATATAATTTACTGACGTGTGCTGGATACAGCAGGAAATGTTAACAGTTAGACTATAAAAACTAGATTACGACACCAAATCGAGTACTCGATATTTATACAGTGTACAGAACAGCGGCCTACTGGAATAATGAGGCTTTGCGTCTACGCTTTTCTATGAGTATAAAGCTACTTATACTTAGAAACCGTATGTTCATACTTAGAGAGGAGTTGCCTCTATAAGAATAAAGTATAAATACAGCGGCAAATCATTAATTAGCCATAACAGACTGCCATAGTATAAGCGTTTACAAAGTGCTTGATTGATAGTTCATTTTTTCACGACGTACGTGTAGTTTTGGACTGACTAACTTTGATTTGCATTTAGAAGTGGAGGATTGAAGAGAGATAAAACTAATTAGCCATGGGGCCAATCGTGTTATCGATCATTATTGCTATCGGGTGTATTTTTCTTAAAACCATCATTTCAACATGGATGGGCGTTAATCGTATATGGTCAGCTTTAAAAAAGGTATCTGGCCCTAAAGCAAATTGGCTAAGTGGAAATCTGGATGAAATCGGTTCGCTAGAAAAATACCTTAGTGCTGTTACTAACTTGTGCCAGAAATATCCTAAAATGTTTCCGCTATGGTATGGCCCCACTAATCCGGTCTTGATGATTAGCAGTCCCGTTGTAGCACGACAATTTAATAAATCTGCTAATACTAAAGAGATATTAGTCCATCGATTTACCCGCGAATGGACTGGACCCGGGCTACTCTATTCCAATGGAGAACTGTGGGCAAGAAACAGGAAATTATTAACGCCTGGATTTCATTTTGATGTCTTGAAACCTTACATGGTTGTCTATAATGAATGTACCGATATTTTAATCGATAAATGGGTCAAACTTGCTGAAGTCGGCAAACCATTCGAAGTTTTAGAAGATATGTGCTTATTGGCTTTCGATATTATTGTGCAATGTGCTTGTTCAACTCAGTTAAATCCTCAAACACATGGCTCCAAGCATCCGTTTTTAGTTGCATCTCGTGAAAATACCACCTTGACTGAAGCCAGATTGTATAATCCACTCTATGCTAGCAGTTTTATCTATGGATTATCTTCTAGTGGCAAGAAATTTTACTCCAATGTTGCTTATTCTAGACAGTTTGCTAAAGAGATTATAATTCAACGTAAAGCTGCTTTAGAAAATCAAGATAATGTCAATGAACACAGAAAACATCTTGATTTCCTCGACATTATGTTGACTGCTCAAGATAGCGAAGGTGTAGGTATGACTGTTGATGAAATTGTCTATCAAGTCATAACCTTTTTATTTGCAGGACACGATACAACATCTTCCTCCCTGTCATGGTTGTTGCACAGCTTAGCTGCTAATCCTGAATGTCAAAAGAAATGTCGAGAAGAAGTGGATAACGTACTTGGAAGTAGAACAAATTTAGAATGGCAAGATTTAGCACAGCTCAAGTACTTAACCTTATGCATTAAAGAATCGCAACGTTTACATCCAACAGTACCCATTCTAGGATATACACTTGGCGAAGAAATGACGGTTGAAGGATATACATTCCCTAAAGGCATGGATATTGAATTTCCTTCTTATGTCTTTCATCACGATCCAAATTGGTGGGAAGAACCGTGGAAATTTAGTCCAGAACGATTTACCGCAGAAAACTCAAAAGGTCGAGATCCCTACGCTTTCATACCTTTTGCGGTCGGAGCTAGAAATTGTATTGGACAAAATTTTGCCTTGCAAGAACTAAAATCAGTAGCTGCTAAAATATTACAGCGTTTCGAGCTATTTACACCTAACTCATCGTTTCATCATATTCCTTCATTGGTTTTAAAAAACAAGGATGGAATATGGATATCTCTGAAGGAGAGATGTTAAATTGCTTTGGTTGGTTTAGATGACACTCTACCATTCTGTCTAAAAGCAATGCGCCCTATCACACCTTAGAAGTTGCTTTGAATGATTTTCAATGTAAATCGTTTTGCAAGCACTCACCATCACTATGTGATTTCTTATTTTTTTACCATATATATCAATTCATTAATAGATCAAAGTTAGACTTGGTAACATGCTGGCTTTTCGCTAGAAATAGCCGGATAGTTTCCTTTAGATAGCGTTATAGCTACTCCCTTCACCCTATGTAATGGTTCAGTTATGCAGGCTTACTCTTTTATATAATCTTGAGAAAGAACACTTTTTGTGTTTATTGCTAATGTGGAAGACATTTATTAACTATAGGCTATGACTGCTGTAATCCACGTTTCTTGATAACATTTTTACGTTTTACTAATTCTAAAGGTTGTACTAGAACAAGGTTTACTTTCACTTTTTTTATGGTTATAATCAATCGTTGGCGTGGCTAGTGCAGCTCAAGATTCCATTCTTATTTCTATATAATTATTACTTTGTTTTTACGACGGTCTTGCTCATAGGAAGTTTTCTCCATATTTTCTATGTTTAATTTATTAACTGAAATCATGAATAAAGTAATGCAATTCGATCTTCATCAAAATCTAGACATAGTCATTATAGTTTTACTTCTTATAGCTTGAGAAGTCTTCAGTTCAACCCTATTTTAAATCTGGATTTTTCAGTGATCAATAAAGCATTTCGATTGTCAAATCAAAGATAGAAGCGGAATATTTTTACTAGCTACTTTTTCTATCAGCTAATAAATTTGGCGATGGATAGAAAGATTTTAGATGGGAGAAAAGTTCACCCCTACTTAGCAACGGAAAAAGAATTCAATATTTATATTATATACTTAGTTTACGGCATGACCGGTAAAAGATTAATTATAAATCATGTTATATTATACAATTGTCTCCATAGCAAGCAAATGACCCTAGAGAATAAAGAAATCAGTACGATATAGGGTAAAGGTTAACGTTGATATGGACTAGCCTAAAGAATAGCGGAAGTAGTTCAGTGAAATAGTCATTACTCCACCTACTGTTACCGCCATACACTAAAATAGATGATTGGAGTTGCAACTTTATCTTGAAAAGCATTTTTCTATTAAACGATAGTCAATTAGTAGTCCCAAAGGCACTAATGTCTTCACAACAGCTTTAAACTATTCTTTATAAGACAATTACAGTAAAGAATAATTTGGCCTATTCTATGAAGGCTTTTGTACTAATTATTATCGCCAAATGTTAGAAACTTATCTCAATGGGGGAATTTATTCTAAACCCGCCCACTCCGCCATCATCTATAGCCCGTGTCTGTATCCAAATTATATACAGTATGCTAATATTTGTACTACAAATGACAATCAAATGCCGAGATAGAAGTAAAAGATTGCAAAATCATTAAACTAGATGTAATAGATAGCGAATGAACGCAGCCTTAATTACAGTAAACTATGTATGCCAATAATTTTTATTAATTTATTAATAATCTAAACTAAAGTATCAATAAATTATCTCCTCTACCTTATTATAATAAATTATTAATTGATGTTAACGTTTCTTATTATAAAATTCGACAGGTGTTTGTGGTCGTAACCGATTTGGCTTTCTACTAAGAGCAAGCAACTCTAATACATGATCATTAAATATTAGATCACTAAAAATAGAATATTATAAGCAACATGTATACTTTAATTGAAAAATGTCTTAATAAACACATTAAATTAGTGTAAGAAATCTAGTGGTACCGGCACATTCTTGAAAAGGCTATTTCGTAACAGATTTTTCTTGGCTCTATCTTATTCATATATATCAATAATATTTTGGAAGAATACTTTAGCACAGAATTTTACGGCTCTTTTAATCTTTGTACGGAAATTTTATCCTAACGACGTTATTTGGTTCAATATTAAGCTAAAATCAAACATTAATCTAACTAGCAACGTTACATACCATACGGTCCCATTAGCTTTATATGATTTATTGAAACTAGCGATAATGAGCAATAGAAAGTGATTTACGAACAAAATTTAAGCATGATGTTAATAAAACTTTTACCGAAACGTTTTCAGTATGCATAAGAATTCTATGTCCATAAAATTTTTCTCTTGTCTGAATAAAGTAATATTTATAATGTTGGATAATTTCATATATACGATATTCTTATAATCAGTTAGAAACTGGCTTGAAATCGCTTAACTGTACCCGTAGTTGTATATGTTTATATTAAATTATTAACTGTTCTTAAACTCTTCCGATATTAAGTGTCTAACATTATCATCAAAATTATAAATATCGCCTTTTCTTCCTTATTCTTGCTTAAATAAGAGCAAGATTTCATACGGGCTAAGAGATGTGTTGATATTTTATTAGTCTTAGCATAAGTAGATATTAATTAATACTATCGACAATTCCAATGAAATATATTATCAGACTATCACTTCTACCTTGCTGTAGTTAAGATCACTTAACTATGACTTACTATATTTAACGAAATATGCAGTATATCATTGTTGTCTTTAATCAATATTAGCCACAGCAATATTAGATATTAATGTACAGACTATATAGTAAGTCGAGCCTGCGTATTCAATAGAAAAACTGCATAAAAACAATATAAAATTAGCAACTGCTGCAGAGTGATAATTATTAATAACGCTATTATACGAGAGGAGATTGTCATTATCGACAGTCATTATTAAGTTAATCCTCCGGCATGATTATTTTTTAATGAGTGCTAAATTTTTGATTTACTTGACAAAATTGTATTCTTTTACACTTTACGCCATCCTTCAAGGTTGAACTAAGCCACTATGGACATTATTTTAATATCAATCATTTTAGCAACGGCGCTCATTTTTCTAAAATCAACCCTTCCTTGGTTGATGGAAACTAATCGCATATGGGTAGCCCTAAGAAAGGTTCCTGGCCCCAAAGCGCACTGGCTACTTGGAAATCTAGATGATGTGGGCACATTGGAAGATTACCTAGAAGGTCTTACTAAATTGTGCCAAGCTTATCCTAATATGTTTCCTATTTGGTATGGTATTACCAATCCTACATTAGTATTGAGCAGCCCTCTTGTGGCCAAAAAATTTATCAAACCATGTAATACGAAAGAAACAGTCGTTCAACGAATTTATAAGGAGTGGACTGGGTCTGGACTTTTATTCACTAATGGAAAGCAGTGGTCAAGAAATCGAAAATTATTAACACCTGGATTTCACTTTGATATTTTGAAGACCTATCTGGTTGTCTATAATGAATGTATCGATATCTTAATGAATAAATGGTCAAAACTAGCTGTAGAAAGTAAACCTTTCGAAGTTCGAGAAGATATGAGCTTATGCACTTTTGATATTATCTTACAGTGTGCTTGCTCTACAAAGTTAAATCCGCAAGCAGAAGGTTTTAGGCATCGATTCTTAACAGCATGCCACGAAAACTCTCTCTTTGTGGAAGCTAGAGCGCAAAATCCACTCTATGTCAGCAAGTTGATTTATAAATTAACTACAGAGGGGAAAAAATTTTACTCCAATGTTCATTATTGTAAACAATTCGCTAAGGAAATTATACTTGAACGTCAAGCTGATTTGGAAAATCAAGATGGCATTAACGAAGAAAGGAAACACTTGGACTTTCTAGATATTTTACTCACAGCCAAGGATAGCGATGGTGTAGGAATGACACTCGATGAGATGGCTGATGAAGTGATAACATTTTTATTTGCAGGACACGATACAACATCCACATCAATATCCTGGTTACTCTATAGTTTAGCGAGTAATCCAGATTATCAAAAGAAATGTCAAGAGGAGATAGACAACGTTCTTGGTGACAGAACTGAAATAGCATGGGAGGACTTGTCGTCTCTACCCTATTTAACGTTATGTATTAAAGAATCACAACGATTGCATACGACAGTTCCGCTTCTTGGATATACGTTAGCAGAAGGTATGACTGTTGGTGGAGTCAAATTTCCTAAAGGAATGGATATTGAAGTTCCAGCTTACGTCTATCATCATGATTCGAGATGGTGGAAAGATCCATGGACCTATGATCCACTACGTTTTACACCTGAGAATTCTAACAGTCGAGATGCCTATGTTTATATACCCTTTGCTATAGGAAGTCGAAACTGTATTGGACAAAATTTTGCCTTCCAAGAAGTGAAAGCGGTAGCGGCTAGAATCTTGCAACGTTTTGATATAGCTACCAATCAGACAACCTTTAAGCACATTCCAGGTGGAGTTTTGAAAAGCCAAAATGGAATATGGATATCTCTCAAGGAGCGCAAGTAACAACTTCTAAGCAACATTAGATTCATTTACAAGTCGTATCGGATATTCAATAAATTATAAGATTCTTCAGTTGTTTCAAAACTAAAAGTAGTATTAATCACCTTATAAGTCGATTAATTCCATTAGTAAAGAAATGAGACCGCGCAATATTATCCTACAGACTAGCGTTGCAACAGCAAGACTTTGTTTGCTTATTCAATTTTACAGTCCTATCCAGATTTGCAATATGTCAGAATTATTATTGCATATTTAATAAACTGCGGATTTAAAAGATTTCACAAATATTGTTCATGGGTTGAATATATGAAGATTTTTTAATAAGTGTTTACGACTATCCATGTTTTAGAATCTTTCTTTTGCTACGATTTAATTACAATTATTTTCGTTGTCATTAAGATTGTTACTGTTCAGTATATCGACCATGCGGAGCTAGGATAGCTCACAATTTAATCCGACTATCAGATAATCTACGATAATTATTCCACTAATTCGTTGACTAACTTAGTAACCTATGTGCGATAATTACTTCACTAATTTACATAACAACTTACTGACCTTAGGTTAACTAATACTCGATTTACTAACTTGCTGCACTGAACTTAATCGAAACTTTGAAATTTCGTGGTACACGTAGATCCTAGATTGTAGACTGATGACTCAGGAATTACAATCTCCTAAGAGTAAATCGAGCTGAACAGCTGAGATCGCTTGATCGAGAGCAATAGAAAATAACTTACTTTTAGCATTGAATACATTACTACTAAAATCCTAGCAATCACATGCATTCTTCCATGCAAACAAGACTTGATACATCCTTTGCGCGCCTCTTTTTACAAGTACATTTTATAAATCCCATGGCAAAACAACTGAAATAATAACAGAGATCTAAGGCATAACTTGAGCTGAAAGACCTTAATTACTGCAAACAAGCTATACATTCAAATTAAATGATGGTCGCTATTAGTAGATCTATATTTACTGCTCAGTCTTTATTCCACATTTTTAAATACAATATCACTTTTTAATAAAGACACAAACAATAAATTACATCTTCATGCATATTTTCTAATTAAGAAGCAAAGTTGCCTTTCGGTAAAATTTTCGAACTATATGCATATTAAAAATTGTGTCTAGTTTTGCAGTGATTGAAAACGTGACTTCTTAAATGTTACACAAATTAGCATTCCTAATTATTATGGTTAGATAAACATGCAGTTCTATAACCACTTGAATATGGATTATTTTCAGTTGAAACTTTACTTTTGGACTGCAGAAATAAACATCAAAAATTGTGCTTGTTGCTAGTTGTAATGGTATTTTATTTTATGATACTCGTAAATGGAAAGAATCAATCTTTGAGCTAGTCTTACGCATTCAACTTATGGCCTGTACAACATGATTGAAAAAAGTTTAGAATTTATCCCTTTCCAGATAGATTGGCTAAAATAACTTTAGGTTGAATTTAGGCCTGGGTTAAGCTCATACTGGAATCTATTACACCTTTACAATTAGCAAAAACAACAACAAGATTATAAGTACTTATAGTTGAGGTTAATATTTTCATTGCTTAAGATCAAGAATACCTATGTCAGTAGTGTACATTACCATTCTTTCGTCAGTTGTCTACTGCTATTATACATGATTTCCATCCTATTTATTTAGTGTCAGAAGCATTCTGCTGACATTGATTAATGTCAACAAGGCAGTATTGCTAATGGATATTATCAATCTCAGATGTAGTGAGAGTTATTCTTAAAAAAGAAAACAAGCATTCTAACTTTCTAACTAGTTACGATGACTAATTTCACGTCCAAGCTTACCAGAGGCTGATAGAAGGACATTGAGATTGTTGATTTCATATCATCTCAGATTCTAAGTGTTACGCAATGCAATCATAATCATAATCAGTGATTATATTACAGGCTATTACGCTACTACGTTGCCTAAATTTATAAAACTTAAGAAAGTATTGTTACTAACAATGTTTTAGTGCTATAGTATAAAGCTGTTTTGTAGATTATAGTACAGAGTATTTACTGATTGTGAGCCTTCTAAAAGTGTTGTTCTTAGATCTTTCGGCCGATGAGGGTAGTAATCTATAAAAGCAGCTCAAAGTAAGTGCTTTCCGTTAGACGATTATATTTGTCAGGAAGTAGTTCGTGATACAAGACTGTTAATGTGTTTTATAAGTCATGTATGATCATCATCTCAGCAATCTTGCAGCCAACGCGATATAAATATGTTTTCAAGTACATTTCATGAATGAATTTTAAAAGTAGAGAAAGACAGGCTTGGTAACTCATACTTTAAAATTTTAGTCCATGAATAACACTATCTAAAGATAATTAAAATAGTTTCTACCAGTCTTAACTTGGAATCATAGGATGATGCATGTCATATGAGTGTACTTCAGTAGCCAATCGCATATGAGATATTGAGTATAGTTTAGAACGTATAATCTACTAGTAATCCACAAATTTAATCCTTCGCTTCGCCGAAGTAATTCGTTTCCTATCGTATGCAAATCACTCCAGGCCAGCTCTAATTTGGCCAGATAATAGGAAAAGTAATTATAGTTGAAACATAATCCTAATTGCAATCTTTAGCTAGGCTGCAGTCATTCATTTCCTAGGATATGCAAATCATGAATCAGTCCGAATAGGTAGAGCCACTAAATTTTATTGTAATTCGCCAGATCTGGCTCAGAAACAGCATTGAATTTTGACGCCTAGTCGAATTGATCCTAAATCATTTCAGGTCAGCTCTAACTGGGCCAGAAAATGGAAAACTAAATATGATTTAAACGCAATCCTAAATCTAATCCGTAGCTCCGCTGCAATAATTATACACATATATTATCGTATGCAAATCGCTCTAATTTGGACAGAAAGTAGAGGGTGTGGTGTTAAGTACATAGTAGAATCTAATTTAAATTCTTTCTCTACTCCAAATCATAACATATTTTTCGTCACGTTATAGTACAATGATTGTTTTATTGGATGCTATTTTAAACTGGATGCAAATTTATGGAGCTTAAGCCAATTACTTTACTGGTGTAGTTATGACGTAGCCTTGCAATTTGCGTACTGTTTGTTTTTGAGTGGATTAAAAAGCAACACATGCACACTGCGTAGGTTAGATCTAGTGGCAACTTGAACAAGGTAGGATGGATAATGATCAACTGATACTACTTAATAGCCTTCTATCTGCATCCAAAAGTGAAGATTTGCTAATTTAGAAGTGAACAGCCTTGATAATAAGTGTCTTCTTTTCGTTCTTAAGGTGAATACAACGCCAAGCAAGGCCTTGCCAATCCACCCTAGACTCAAGTTCCTGTTGTCGTACAGGTATAATAAATATTGCATCAAGTAATCGAGCAGACTTGGGCATGATCCTAAGCTCAGTAGATGACCATTGTAAAACGGACAAAAAGTGAATGAGAATCTAATTCCCTAAAGTCGTTGTTGTGATGCCCAATCAGAAGCCATTTTCCATAGGGTTGATTGGATTGGATAACGATGCATAGCATAAAGCGATCGATGATAGAATCCAGCGGGTTGCACATCTAGGAAGGAGTCTATCATTTTGCTACGTATGCGGTCCATATCCAAACCATTTGTTCTTACCTTCAATCCAATGCAAAACGACTTAGATTTGAATGAAATAATCTGATTGAACCAATGCTGTTCTTCATACTACTAACATGGCAAGAGGGATTAACCTATCTAAGTTCCCATAAAATATCTCTTCAACTGTTTTCTTTTCATGCTACAGAACCTTGGAGATTTGTAAACAAGTCTTGCCAGCATGATGACAACATGCTTCGAACTATCCTACAGTGTCGTTGTAAACAATTTATAACGCATAATGACTACAAAAATATCATAGGAAAAAAAACCTTGATGACTAGACGCCATGAATTATGAAGAATGCAAGAATGCCGTTTCGTCTTACCAGCTATCATTGGCATTAATTTTATTACGCACAAAAGATTATTCTATGAAGTATAGTAGTTCTGTAGCCAAAGGCTTGTTGCTTACATCTCTACGTTTTGATAATATTCTAATGCGCATTACGGCCAAAATATAATTATTGACGTCTTAAGGTGCAATCTCTTTCATGAGTAAGATCCCCTTTATATTGAGTGCAATCTTGCTAGCTAACCTGCGAATTGGATCTGTGGTAGTCAAGTTGTAGCTCTACACTAGCTCATGTCAGCTTGTTCTTTCTTTTCATGTTGGTCTACAAAAGTACTGAATCTGTTTATCTGCCTTCGTAACCAAAGGTAAATCGGATTACTGTCTTTTTCACCTTTGGAAATAGAAGAAGAACGTTAAGTAATGCTTCCTGGTTTCGTTAGCTATGGGGTAAGCCATTGATTTTCTGATTGCAATACGCAAAAATTGGTTCGTAGATTTCAATATAAGCGTCAAGGCTAAACGAACGTTTTCAATACTTTTCTGTTAGCGTCGTCGTCCTGAATTTGAATGTAGTTCTCCGATTCTGGATGCCATCTCCAAGAATTATACTGAATTAATTGAAGAGATGGATTGGCTTGATGATAGTGTTGTCGAAAAGCTGCAAGCGGCTCAAGTTTTAACAGCTGACGAAGTGAATTCGTTTCGTCAACAAGAAAGTATCCAAGATATAAAGAAGGATATAATAGAAATTGTAAAAACCCGAACAGATCGTTCGTTTTATATCTTCTGTAACATTTTAAAGAACCATCCAAATCCAGCATTGCAAACTCTGGGCAATAAATTAAGGAAGGATATGGAAGCACCTGAAAATCTAGGTGATTCCTCGTTATAAATACCGCCTTGTTTACAGCCATGATTCTTTTCTGGACCGCTGCTGTAGACACACTTTATACAATGTAGTTATATTAGCCATCAAATTATGCTGCATCTAATCAGGATTTAGTTTGAATTCGTAGATATGCTGTCAATTTACTGCCATAAACCCATGCCTATAAAATTGACTTATAGATTACCTGAGCAAAGCAATTGCGATGCAGCAACTAAACTGACCAGAAGCGTCAGTACGTTAGTTTAGCAACTTAAAGTAGTGTCATATAGATTAAAAATGAGGTTACCAAAATAAATATCAAAAATTATATATTTCAAGCTAGCCGAAAAGATCAATTTAAAGTCTTATATCAATCAAGGCCGAGTTATTTAGGGCAAAAGTTTGCTCCACGTAAATACGAATTGTAATGGATTACATCAACATGCCATTTCATGTTTGCTAGATATCCTCCATGATGTTCCAGAATTGCCAAGCCATCATCTTATTGTACGTGATTCATTTGTTAACACTACAGCAACGGCTCTGATGAAAATGAATTTCAGTCAAGGTCGATTACTGGTTCATGGCATCCCAGGAAGCGGAAAAACCATGGCAGTTGCCAATTCTATAAGACACATGGTGAAAGCAAATGATCTCTTTACTCCTAATGGTATTTTTTGGACTAAAATCGGTGAGCTTAAAAATAAATTACAGGTACTGAGTGAGACCTTAATATATTTTACCTAGCTGTACTTCCATTCGATCAGTCCGAATTAATATGAATAATGAAGTGTCCTTAAAATTTACAATGAAAAGAATACTCAATCTCCAATCTTTAATTTAGTATTAGAAATAGTGTGCATAGATTTTGTTGGAATCTATTGGATATAAAATAATGGTTTAATCTATGATATATGAACTGTAACTATGATGGTAATGTTACACTGAAAATAGAAAAAATTGACATACGCATATTATCCTTTAATACTAAGTTTCTTTAAGCGATCGAAAATATGGTAGTCATATTTTTACAGTGATCATAATAATTAAAAGAACAGAGACAATAATATAGTCAAGTTAAATTTCTTAAAGTACTGCTTAATATAATATTTTATTCAATTACTGACTCCACTAACGATTCCATTAAACATCATGTTCGTCAAAAGGTGACATCAACAAGGATGATCTAGCGATGAAATTAAGGAAATTATGCCGTACTGTAAGCAATGATGATCAACAAGCATATGGAGATTTAGACTGCATTAGCCTTACATTAAAACAGTATTTTTCAGGTAAAGCCCTTACCACATAAACAGTGTAACATTATATATCTACTACAAATCTAGATGCTCGTTGATACTGATATGAAAGACTATAGCTTCCATTCAGTATATAATTTTAAAAGTCCCAAATTATTCAAGGTAGCTTCTACAGCATGATTACAGATCCAAAATAATAAAATGTTAACACAATGCACTTGATGTATCAATGCTTTTCATTTATAATTAATTATACGTGGTTTACTTTAAGCAGATCATATGGAAAGAAAATTTATACTCTTTGTATTTGAAGACGTTAGAAATGAATCATATCTAGATTATCTTCAATTTGCAAAAAATGTGGTGATAACATCTCCACTTACTTTAAGTGAAAGATTGCATCAGTTTGATTATGTAACTGAAGCTCCTGTAAGTAAAAGCTATTTTCGTAATTTTTTACCTCTACTGTATGCTTAGATTACTTATAGAAAACTTACAATTAGAAGTCGATGTTTAATATTTTTTGTTTGTAATCTCCTTTCTTGCTAAGGGTCAGTTTGAACTCCAGCAATCTTGGCAGTTGTTAGCCTCCTTTCAACCTAATATTGGCTTGTCAACAATTACAGCAAATCAAGTTATTGCTTCTGTCATTGAATATTGCCGCTGCTATCCTTTAGCGATTACTCTTTTAGGCGGAGCACGATTACAATCGGAGGAGGAATGGAAAGAAGCACTAGTATTTATTCAGCAGAATAAGGAAGATAGCCATGGTCCCTCAGAGAACTATCCAGCGAGTTTATGCCGCGTTTTTCAGTTTGTTATCAATCGACTCCCTTCTCCGGTCGGAGCCTACTATAGACTGTTAGGAGCATTTAAAAAAAGCGTAAAGATTCCGGTTGCAGCAATAGCAACGTTATGGGATCAATCGCAGCAGCTTGAAAGTATATTGAAAGATTTGCACAGTAGATCTCTAATAGTATATCACCGAGATAAAGACAATGCAAAGTAAGTCCAAATTTTAATCTATATAAAAATAGCAAGCTATTGGATATTTGTCGTGAATCAGTAGTAAATACATGTAGTAAATCTTGGTAAATTAACAGCTTGATTATCTCATATCTTAAACATTACCAACATCGCCTATTATGTATAGGAGCTATTGCCAGATACATGGGACTCTGTCAGACCTGCTTCTTCAGAATCCAGATAAAGGGCAACAATCTGTAGGCGCCAGTAAACAGTATCGACAGAGTTTGCATAATACACTATTAAATCTATATCGCATTCGATGGGGTAATTGTTGGTGGCGTATCCACGATCAATATATACAAGAGCACTTAATTTATCATTTAGTGGAAGCATCAGAAGGCGAGTTAATCTCTAAGCTAACGATGGATATTTTATGGGCAGAAGTAAACTTAAAAATAAGACAATCTCTAACAGACTTACTCCAAGATTTGCAGCGATGCCAAGAATATTTACATTCCAAGGTGTTCTAGTAATTTTAACTTATAGTACTAAGGTAGAAGTGTATGCTGAAAGTTTACATTATTTGAAGAGAGTACTGTGTGACTTAGATTAGTCTGTTATGCCTATTAATAACTAGAAAGCAATCGTACGATGTAATTGATTTATTAACAGTCAAGTATTAATTAATACATTATCCAATTTATGGCTTATTACTTTGAACAGTAAGTGGGGATAGGAAGACATTTCTTTGTTAAGATTCATAGTCCATTTTATTCCAAATTGAACAAATAATCATTTTCAGGGCATCTTTCCTAAAATGGAATTGTATGAGACGATCAGAAAGAACGAGGTATTTCTATCAAAGAAACCTGATCAGCTACTCCAGTCTTTGTTAATTTGTACGCATCCAAATAATCAGCTATATAAACTGGTCACCGATATAGCTCAAAAACAAGTCGAATACGAAGGAAAAGCGTATGTAAACTTAAGGTATAGTACTATAACTGTTTACTTTATCCGCAAGGTCCCCGGGATGGACATGCTTTGATTACTGCAATTTAAGATACTGGATTCAACTGTATTTTTATCAATTTAGTTTTACTGAAAACATGGGTAAATGGCAAAATACATTACAACTTGGCGATGAAAAGGAATCGTGTAATCTGGCTCTATCTAATCCTATTTATGGGCCCATAAGGGTGGCATTTATGAAGTCTTATGGATCCCCAACGGTAGGTTCCATCTTATTTTCTTACTGAATAAGTAAAGTAAGAATATCTAAAATTATAGAAAATTATCATCCTTCGATAAGATATTTTCTACGCGGTGATCTTATTTTGAAAAGGAATGCGACATACAAACGTTTTTTTATTTTTTACTATTAAAATTTGATCTATCCGTAACAATGTCAATATTCGAACAGCGTGCCGAGCTGCTTTGTTACGATTAGCATTAGGAGTAAATTTTAAGACTTGTTTTCTAACAGGTTTGTGACTACGCTACAACAAAAGTGTTGTTTTCTACAGCAGCCTGTGGTGAATGTGTAGTGACTTCGGCTGACGGAAAATATATGGGTTTCGGTAACAATCCAGTAAGTTATTATTAATTCTTAAGTATAAGCAACAATGCAATTTTTGAGTGTGGTTCCCATTGCTTGACGTTATACTATCATACCTAATTAGTGAATAAAAGAGCATTCCATTGGTTTCTCTTTCATACTAACTAAGCTTTAGCTTATGCTCATATAAAATAAATTGAAAGATTACACTGCAGTACTGGCGGAAGAAATTCAATTCATGCAATTTTATTTCTTTATACGCATAAAGAGACGTGACAGTGAATATCTATCAAGAATATTTCATGTATGGAATATTGAAATGAAATTTCAAATGCGGTTCAGAGATCAAAATAACAAAATTTCTTCGTCTTTTGATGGCATTCGGTTAGAATTTTCAAACTTTAACCTAAAATTATGTGCTGGCATCTCTTCTAATTTTGAAGTTTTATATGTAAGTACGTAGCAATAAGATTAACATCGAGCACAATTATTGTAATAGGTATAATGTTATTCGTTAAAATTATATCTACATGTATAGGAGAGTGAATTATTTAGTTCTAATCATTGATAGAAATCGTGACATGGGAAGTAAAATCAAAGTTTAAGTTAAATTATATTGTTATGAAAATAATTTCTGGAAAAAAGTGCATAAAATATACGAAATAAATGGTAGTTATTGTTTAACAGTTATGTAGTCAGCTACAGTTTGGCTGTGTTGAAGTTATAATTTCATTATTTAAAGGTAGCTGATAGCAAATTTTAAAGTAGGCGCCTGTAAAACTGAAAGATGACTGTTGAATTGAAATATTGGTATCCAGTATACTATTATAGAAATACCAAATGGAAGTAAATATTTCACAATCAGTTTAAAGTATCTCTAGATGAACAATTTCTTCTTCCGTTCCTATCCTCTTTCCATTCCTTAAAACTTTTAGGCTTAAATGGAATAATTTTAGATTTCTTTTGTAAAAGCTAAGCTTACCTTCATTTTGAATTTGATCGTGATAGCTATGGGAAATACAAGGTGATATTTTCCAATGTCTTAAGACTGCAACGTTTAAAGAAGATCATCTTCATTACTGCAATTTCATACCTATGACATCTAGCATGATTGTAGGTATAAATACCTACTACAAACCAAAATGTTTTGGAGGCGATGAAAACTATAATGTTTGTCAACTACAGGTGAATTTATTTCTTTTAAAAGTATAATCTACTTACGAAGTAGGTCACGCTAGTAAAGTAACTCTTTAAAATTATTATAATTTGATTATACTCAAACGTTGGATCATGTAGATTGCAATAGAAGTATATCAGAACATAGATCTGTGTTGAAAAGATGCAAATACGCAATATTATAATAATAACAGTATTTACATTACCAAAAGAACCTAAATAAATCTTAGAAATAAGTAGAATGGGTAAGTATTAGTCCAGCAAGATTGATATATGAATATAGCGTTATTCTCTGTGCTATTCACTATTGTATAGAAATAACATTTTTATGATCGGATTATTACCGTCAATATCGAGATGGTTACGTATCTGTAATTTATAAGTTCTGAATTGTGCAAATCATTTCGTCAGTTTACTCCCTATATCTAATTGCCTATTAATACTCCAATAAATTATTAGATATGGAACGTACCAGATCTAAGTTGTCAAAGTAGTATTAAAGTACCAGGACGACTTGCAAGCGGAACTTACTTACCTATTCAAGATAGTTCTAGCTCCAACGACTGTGTTATAACCGCCATACGTTATGTTAATGACGATTATTTTGCAGTCAGTTACGAATCTACCTGTGTTAAATGTATATTTGGTGTTCTAAAAACGAAATTCTGCACTGGTAAAACTTCGAAGGAATTTTATGAGCAATGGTCCGAAATGTTTATTCAATTAAGTGATGATAGTGTTCAATCATTTGATGTTTCGGAGGACGGACAATTACTGGTGTCACTGACAAAATCATGCAACGTCTTGGTATGTTAAAATTTACCACAATTTGTTAGCTAATCATTTAATTGCTTTTTAGATAAAAATCGAATTTAAAGCAAACTTTACGTTTTAATTTAAACTACAAACATATATTTTGTTTATTTTACTAGCTGCACCAACGGAATTTCAATGGATTTGAATTAATCTCCAAAGTGGCGGGAGTTCAAACAACAAAGGAAATTAAATTTTGCGATCAAGGTCATGGCTTACTCAGTTATGATGGTAACAATATCTATCATATGGTCTTACCGGGTAAGACATACAGCAATAATCGATAATGTTAGCATTTAATATCAAGAAACATTATTATATAAACTAATAATATTATCTTCTGAGAATTAACAGTAAATATTATTAATTGAATTCTGTAGCTCCTTGCACAGATCATTTATCTCCATCTAGTGAAGTCATTAGCTGTGAATTTGGCATTGTTAATGGTATTCCTGTTGTTGTAAGGCACATCACAGCTGAAGGAACAGCTTACTTAAAGGTAATGATATACAGTAGTTAGTAACTCTATGTTGATGAGACCTTTATTTTACGAAGTTGCATTTAATCAGTTGGAATGATTTCGTGATTTCTATAATATGAACATTGTTGACTTGATTCTAATTCAGATTAGTTATGGCCGTCAGCTTGATCAAACGTCCTTCATAAACCTGGGAAAATACACTAAAAATCATTTATCTGGCGTATGTAACAGACAAAAGATTTACGTATATGAACACTTAGGTGCTGTGGTCTACATAGATAATTATACCTGCATAAATGGAAGTTGTGTACCGAGTCGCATACGGACCCATTATCATGTAGTTACACAGGTAGTAATATAATTGAATATTAGTATAGGATAATATCTATTCGTTAGGTATACTCATATTTAATACGCAAAGACACCGTCATAGCTATGACTTATTTATAACTAAAAGTTAGCACACTTCTTTAATTGAGAACTTATATATTGATAAAAGAGACGAACATTATTGATCTATAAAGTAATGGAAACATATTAAACTACTGTATTTTCATCAAATATTACGTAATGCTACTCATAGTTCATATTTTAAGTAAATGAACATAAATTTTTGCCATGATTTATATCATATCGTAACCGATTACTTTTATCTACTAGCCACTATCCATCAAAGTTGTACTAAAGCATACTAGCTATATCTTAATTTTTGTTCAGCAATCATCAACGTGACCAAGACTACTGATCATCATAAATTACAGTAAAATTTAGTCCATATTTTGGCAATTGACAGAAAAATATTTAGTCAGATTTTTTGTTTCAGTTGCATATATTTTAATTACATTTGCGGTATAACAAGAAAAAATGATGGTCATGATATTTATGCAACAAAATGACAATATGTTGATTGATATACGGTTCAGGCTATTATTTTAGCAGTGACGATCTTAGATATAAATATTTATAGTCATGCAACGTTCAATTGACAGTTCAAATACGATCTTGTTACTGGATTTAAGCTTATAGGATTAGGCAGTCCTTGTAAAGTCCTCTGGACTACCGAAGAAATAGTAGATAATGACGATTTTCGATACCTCAATCTTCAATCGTTCTATCGTAAAAGCGGAAATCGACTGATTTTTATTCAGTATGGGAAGGTAAATGAAAGTATAAGATAAATTTCAAGTCTGTAAACTTAGCTACGATAACATATAATGATTTCTTGTTATGGTATTGATGTAGCCTTAAACATTTAATTTATCTTTTTGTATTCTATGACAAAATTGGATTGTTTGCTGTAATTAAATTTCTCTTCTTATGATTGACTAGTATGATAGCCATCATTTTAAAGTCATAGCAATGGACCCAAATACCGGATGCATAACGACTCGATATTGCAGTAAAGAACGGTATTCTAGAACTCTCTTGTACTTACTAAGTGAAGAATTTATAGTTTGCTATCACTATGGGTTCAACCTAAGGACAACTCCTACTGCGGTAATAAATCATCTCGACTTTATAATAACATTACAAATTATATTTAAAAAGGTATACTTTGAATTGTACTCGGTTATTTTAAGGATGCTGTAATCTTACGATCACAGAATTCAACATTTATATACAGATTGAAAGGTTGCTCATATTTAGTATTAATTACTCGCTATTTATTACTTTGATCTTTTTGCATGAAATTTTGGCCATGTACTGTAATAACTAAAATAGAGTGTTGAAGCTCATTTGAATAAGTATGAAAGCCTTGTAGTGGTGCTGCTACGAAATAAACGTAGTTTCTGGTGTTCATTCGTTTCGAACCATTAACAAAAAGAAAGTTTCGTAATTATCAAAATATTTGTTGCAAAGTAAAGTACTGTAGTTAATTTGCCTATTAAATTATCCGCCTATATTCAGGTAAAGATACAGATAGACTTTAGCAAGCTGCGACAAGCCCAATGAACTGCTAAGATCGTTCTGAAGACACGTCAGAACGTTTAACAATATATCCTAGTGATATGTTATAATTTGCCTAACTTACTATACTGTACGATTATAAAAGAAGATTAAGTATAAGATCCCGCTTTATAGCTACTAATGTATAATTATGTAGACTGGGTTTAGATATTTAATTTATATTGGTACAGTTTACAAATAGATAACATTAATCTATTTATAGTAACGGCTGGAACGTGCTAAAGCATGATATTAATATTTTAATTATTTTAATAGATTTACCAATTAGAAGGTGATGAAATTAAAGAAATCAACGATGCTTTACAATATGAAAATACAGTAAGTATAGGTGAGAGTACCATACGCCAGGAACGCGTAGTGGCATGTAGAGATGAATTTGTACTGGAACGATATTACATAGATGAATATGACATTAGTAGATCACTGGAGGCTCTACGAAAGGCATTCAAAGAAAATTACGTAAGAATTCAAATCAGTCATTTTATCGCATGTACAATGTTATTCCGTAAATAATTTTATATACCATTTGCTTTAGGAGGTCAAGAGCAAGTATCATTATTTTGTTTTATTGAGGGAAAGAGATCATTATCTGGTAACGAAGCCATATACGCAATAATGCTTACATTAAATAAGACAAGTTGCTGTAGTGTACAATACAACATTTGTGCCATGATTGTGCTTAACTGATTCATCATCTTTAATACTGTGAACAGCTCACTGGATATGATCACTCTCAAGGCAAGCTCATAGAAGGCAGCGACGACTCTATACTAGAAAAAGATTTATTTTGGCCTAAAAAGTACTTTCCTTATGTTAATGACGAACATAAGTCTCAAATTGACCTTTACAAATTCAATACGCTTATTCCACATTTACAACTTCGATCCCCTAAATTACTGAAGAAGATTATAGCTGTAAAAATGAATCAGCTTGAAACTATGTTGATGTGCCAAGAAGAAGATGGAAACTGTAGTGTTATCCAAATTATTTAATCGCAAAAGATTGATATTTATGCCACTGTAAGTTTGGTTAAGGACCTTTAAATACGATTGAAAATTAATCGATGGCATTTATTGGATACAGTAGTTGAAATACTTATTACGATATCTTCTCAGATTCCAATTGAGAAGGTAAATGTCATTCTGTAGCTGTGCCTATTTTTCATTATTTGACAAGAATAATTAGCGTAGTTATTTAAAATGTTCAATTTGCTATTAAGGTGGAAATAAATTTTTTGCTATATATACGAGCCGTTAACTACAGTCCATATTCGTTATAATGCTTTTAAGAAATTGATACTCTGTGATATATTTTGACCCCATTAAGTAATAGAATAAAGTTAACTTTGAAAATTATTCTGGTTCTTAGCATAAGAATAAAGAAATGCAATTTTCGTTAAATGACGCTCAACCCGATTTTTGTATCTCTATTTCTGCTATATGCTTATAGCATTTCAATTGCAACTCTATTGTAACTGCTTGCGATGCTGCAGCAAGACGCAGTTCATCAATCTACCATTCTATGCTTTTAGTTTGTTAATGCAAACTGGCTTAATTATTGAATATGTCAATTTATAAGCATACATTAATTTAAATTGGTCTTGCTGACGGTTATCTTGTAATTAATTCTCTATTATAAGCTTCCATATATGGGTATTAGTGATTTCTCGGATCCATTGCGAATAAGTATTTCATTTTACCATAACCAATATGTTCTATTATAAGCGCATATCTACTATATTAATCTACTTATGTGTGATTTGATCGGGAAGCATTACCTAATAATAAGAATCAGCATAATAATGAGCATAACCTAATTAATCTGTAAACAAAAATTAATCGGCTATTGATTATGTATTCACAAAACTTCTACTGAACTCGTATTTAATTAACCATCAAAGTACTATGAAACTCATTGCACCCAAATCCTAGCAGTGTATATGACTACATAATCACCCATGAATTACGTCGATATCGATTCTCATAAGGTTATTCATGACACAAAGCTCCTCTTAGTGTTATCCTTCATTTGAACAAAGTAAAGTGCATTTCCATCATTAAACGTCATTCCCAGCTACTAAGGCGTATCATCCTTCTTCCTGATATGCAATATTTCCTTATGATTGTATTCGGCAATGATAACAAATGGAAGCCAATTACACTGATCAAGGATAGGAATTTACATAACAGAAGAAGAGCCACTTCCTCCATTAACACGACAGAGAAAAAGTGCATCCTCTAGGTGGGAGCAATCTCCTACTGGTCAATAAATTAAATGGCCTACCGAGGACGTGAATAAATGTCTTTGTCTATCGTAACCTTTATTTGGTTAGGCAAATAAAGAATAGGCAACTGACAAGTTGAGAGATGGACAATTTGATTGACTGCAATTGTACAGTAGAATTACGCCATAATCGCTTATTTAAGCATGCGACATATGGAAAGTACCCTGCAATCGTCCTATCAACACCATAATCGATGCTGGTAGTTGGTGATCCAGAAAGCCAAGATTTTATGGTAGTTTGATACTAATTGGTGAGGAAGATTGTCGTCTATTTACGAGATCAGCTTGTAATTTGATTGGAAAGGAAACAACACTAACCGACTGTTACCCAAATTTATTGATACTATCATGAATACATTGGTCTTAGTACTTATTGCTATTGCAGTTGCCTTCCTACTTAAATCTGCCTATAGCTTCTTTTCACGTATTTCCAACGTATGGAAGGCTTTAGGCAAAGTTCCCGGTCCTTATGCACACTGGCTGACTGGCACTTATATTGGCACATTGGAAACGTTTATCCCTGCTCATTCCAAACTATGCGAAAAATATCAAGATATGTTTCCCATGTTTTATAACGTAGCTAATTTCCAGTTATGCATCAGTAATCCTATCTTACTTAAGCAATTTCTCAAGCCTAGTATCAGTAAAGAAACAATTATCCATAGCTTCTTTGAGGAATGGGTTGGCCCAGGAATCTTACAAGCTAATGGGCCGCAATGGTCAAGGAATCGAAGATTATTAACACCTGCATTCCATTTCGATGTTTTAAAATCTTATATGAAAGTCTTTAATGAATGCGCCGACATTTTAATCAACAAATGGGTGGATAAAGCCAAAGATGGCAAACCTATTGAAATCCTAGACGATATGAGTTTATGTGCTTTTGATGCTATTATACGTTGTACTTGCTCTACCGAATTAAATACACAAACTCATGGATCTCGTCATCAATTCTTAATTGCTTGTCGAGAAAATACTTACCTAGGAGAATCGAGGATATTTAATCTATTCCATCATAGTAGTTTTCTATATAAGTTAAGCCAAAATGGAAGAAAATTTCATCGTAATGTCGCTTATTGTCGGCAGTTTGCTCGTGATATTATACTGCGACGTAAAGCTGAATTAGACAGTCAAGAAGACAATGAGAATAAGAAGCATTATGATTTCTTGGATATTATGTTAAAAGCAAAAGATAGCGATGGTACAGGCATGTCTGTCGATGAAATTGTCCATGAGGTGATTACTTTCCTCTTTGCTGGCCATGATACCACATCAACATCGCTGTCATGGCTTTTATTCAGCTTAGCTTGTAACCCTCAATGTCAACGACAATGTCAAGAAGAAATCCGAAAAGTAACTGAAGATAGGAATGATATCCGATGGGATGATTTATCCGCCCTCTCTTACACGACATTATGTGTGAAAGAATCACAACGATTGCATACTACTGTCCCCTTTATTGGGAGGACATTAGGTGAGGAGACGACGGTCAACGGCTATACATTTCCTAAAGGAATGGACCTTGAGCTACCCATTTATCATTATCATCATGATTCAAGATGGTGGAAGAATCCATGGGATTTTGACCCTTCACGATTTACACCAGATAATAGTCAAGATCGCGATCCATTCTGTTATCTTCCATTTGCCGTTGGCACAAGAAATTGCATTGGACAAAATTTTGCCTTGCAGGAACTTAAGGCCATCGCAGCAAAAATATTACAACGATTTGAGCTATCAACAGACAATCCAACGTATCAGCATATTCCTGCTGGGGTATTAAAAAATAAAGGAGGAATCTATCTTACTCTCAAAGACAGGAAGTAGATGAACTTAGAATTGCTCTTGATTTCAATTTACATCATCATGATAGTAGAATTCGAACTAGATACTAGTGTGTGCAACCCTACTTCTTTTTTCATTTCTTTGCTGTCTACTCCATCATAAAGTAGTTCTAATAAAGGTAAACGTAAAAAATGCTGGATTACTTTCCAAATAGAACTTAAATCGAGACTTGGCCTTTCGGCTTTGACTAATTTTAGATAGTTTACCAGCTTCCAAAGACCTTCTTATTCTAATCGTCATATTAAAAGTTTATTGTTACAGACGACGAATTAAAATAATTACTCTGACGGTCTATTATTTGCCTATTCCCTTTAATGGTAACCTATTCGAAGTAGTTTACTGGTGATTGGAAATATATAATCTCGAAAAATGATGATGTGGCCTTTTATCCGAGTCATGCGTTAAAGTAAAATCGAAAAGCTGAATTTCAGTTGTTGATGCTTTTACAGCTTCAGTTCCTACTGATTATTAATCCATCATTTTTTACCCATTCCTCCTTTAATGTTAGCATTTTATAAAATATTTTAATCGTAATCCTAGATTTAGAACCTAAAATGATATTGTGGCCGTTTATTCAAGTCAGGTTTTAAAAAATAAAAGCTTAACTTCAATTACAATTATTGATGGCTTTAAAGCTTGCATTCTGTTAATTGTTGCTGATCTGTCGATAAATACTACCCATCAGCCTTTCAATCCAATTGATATTTGTTTTCGATGATGTCTATCGAATTGGGAACTATTCATTTTACCTTAGCCCATTCTGCCTCACTCCACTATTCTTAACTCTGTCATAGTAAAACCTTTTATGTTAAGTCTATCCGCTTGAGACTATTATTATACGAGAATTAGACTAGATTTGATGGAATGTTTGTGAGGCAGTTTTGTTACAACCACTGCATTCATTTGGCCATTTAAAATCAATAAGCAAGGTAATCCGCCGTTAGGCGATTCTGTCAGAAATCTATGATAAGGATTTAATAGGAAAAGTAATAGCCGCAAAATAAGGTTCCTTACCGCACAGAATTATTCGATGTAATGAATTATAGGGGTGGTATTGAATGCAAAATTACTCTATGTAAAAATAAAGAACAGGAAATAAAGTTTTTCATCCGTAGATATTAAAATAAGCATTCTTTTTTAATGTTAAAAATGAACAACATCAGGTTATTTTATAGTTGAAACGTTGCAAACAAGGTTGGCTTAATGATAATAGTAGGCCATTTTTGCTTGAGCGTAAAAATACATTCAATTTATTTAACGCATTGGCGGGCAATGAATTACTGCAAACATTAAAATTTCTCAATGCAGAATTATATATCATCATCTTCTACGTATCTACCATACTAATGCTATGTTTGTGTAGCATTAGAAATGCAGGTTTATAGATCATATTGAAATGGTTCGAAATTCTGATTCCTTTTGAAGAAAAATATTAACATCTGAACTGGGTATTAAAAAAAATATTGCATAGAATCAATGCTGTAGCAAAAGATCTGTGTGATAGACTATAAGTAACTAAAACTGATGCCATCGTTGCCCAATTATTATAATCTTTCATAGCTTTGAAAATCCAAAATAACAGTGTACTGTTCTGTTTCGATTAAGAATTTGCAATTTAAGTTCTCTATGGAAACCTGCTATGCTATTACAATGGTGTATTTAATTAGGGTCTTGTCTAGTTAAATTAGCTATCTGTAGTAAATTGATTTCATATCCCTAAGGCTCGCAATTGAATAACTTGAAATTAGAGTTATTAAAGTCGTGTAAATCTCTTACGTGACAAAATTAGGTATTAATCTGAAATTAATTAGAGAAGAACTTGTATCCGAAATCAATGTTATTAAAGTTGAGCAAGTCTTTAACGTGACATGCTTTAATTAGGTCATCACATCTTTTAACCTTAACAGCATTGGTTATTTAGTAGACTCTTATCGGAGAGGAACTTACAGTCTAAATTAGAGTTATTAAAGTTGAGCAAATCTCTAACGTGATACAATCAGATCAACACCGTTTTTAATCTCAACAGCATCGTTTATTACTCGAACTCTTGAACGAGAAGAATTTATTATGTCAATCACAACATTACTTAATCAGCACTCTTTTCTCTATAATTAGCTTACCAAAGCACACGCAAAACGATTTGATTAAAAGGCAATATTGCTTAAATTTCCTAAGCTTGAAGCTTCCAGTGTTCAATCTATAGGGAGTGCCAGTGAAGAAAATGAAGGTACAATTTTAGAAGTGAACATTTAAACCCTACAAGAGTAAGAGTGATTCAACAACGTCTATGAAGAGCTGAGTACTTTTCGTTTTGGTTTTTCATTTCCCATCGTGTTAAATATTATTCAGTTTGTGTATTCGTCCAATTTAAATCATTAAACATCAATCACTTAGATACAGCTACAGTAGATTATACTGTATCTGTGTAGGTATAATACTTTTGTTAAATTTCTTTGGTTGAAGAGTAATTCACTTTCCATCATGTTTCAAATTGATAAATATGCTCCGACTATAAACTTCATGCAATTTTAATGTAACAGTCACACTCTTTCTGTCATGTTCAATATTATTCAGCAAACATACTCGTTTAATTTTAATATTGAATGCCATTTAGATACAACTCATATTATTTATGTTGCAGCTATGAATGCATGTAGGTTTTGCTGAAGAGTAATTTAATTCCTATTATGCTAGAAATTATTCGGCATCTATACTTATAAAATTTATCCATTAAATATTATTCCGATACAACTTGTGGCATTGATGTTGCCTCTATGAACGGATATTGTCTTGATAGAAGATTAATTTACTTCCCATCACGATAGATATTATTTAGCAGATTTACGTATAAAATTGAATTTGTAGTTATCATTTAAAAATACAATTGGAATTACTTATACTGCGTTTATGAACGCAAATTGTTTTAGTTTAAGAGAAGCTTACTTCCATCGTGCTTGATATTTTTCATTATATATATTCGCATATGAATAGTTTCCTTTCCTTGTATGTAAAACACTGTACTATTGTATTCTAAGCTGATAACATATTTAGTAATGTCTACTGTAATTATCGTGTTCAATGTACGATAGATATTCCATTAGAGGCTTAAGTATTGAATATAGCTAGCTTAGTAAATGTATCCTTTTGAAGAGGAGTGTTACAGTGCTCTCACTAGAGATTCACATGAAAGGTGTAAACTATCCTGTATTTGAGATGCTAATACTGAAGAGTGTAGTAAGTAAGGTGCTAAGATTGTTAACGTGGAAATTTTCAGTATATAAGCGAATAGTTTAGTACAATAAAATAGTTCTTTGTTGATAGAGGTCTTCGGCTGATCGATTATGTTGTATCTTTGTAAACGAGGTTTTGCTCAATAAATCTTAATTTTCTAAAGTCTTGAAGATTCTTGATCTATCAACCTTACACTGTACTAAATATACCAACGGCTCATATGTCATTTTTGGAGGTACATTTGAAGGAATAGTCTTTCATTTAATTAAATCTGTGATTAAAGAAATGATAATGAAGGGTGCACCTAAAGCTATGATTGCTCGCGCGATACCCAATCTATTTTACGATCAAGATGATAATGATAATATTGACATAATTCCCAACCGCTAATTATCATCAACCAGTAAGTTGAAAATTAAAAAAACTATATTGCCGTAGCTGTTTATTCCAACCTATGATGCCATGCTGTTTCAGTTTATTTACCGTATAAGGGAATTTTACAGCTACTTCTACCATGTTAATTTGAAGATAGGGAAGTTTATTTTTTAAAGTTTAGACAAAAGTAGGGAAGATTTGAATTCATCCTACGATGCACTATGAATTATAGTCTATAATTATGAAATAATTAATAAAAGATCAAAATGGTATACAATAATTTAGAAATGATGAAAAAGGCTAGAGTAGCTAGTAGAGGAAATGATATCTTCTTGAAAGCATACCGTTAGAAAATTCCATTTACTATCTCAATAGCAACATTTTTTTGCTACTTATAGACTATTATAAGCTATTATCAATACAAAATACTTGATACCAAAGGTAACATGGGATCTTTGATGTTTCTTTAAAATGAATCGATAGTCATTGGGCTTCTAGGATAATTGACGATATGTAAAGTATAAATAATTTAAGCAATCATCGTAGATTGGAATATTTCCTCAAACCGCTGGCTGTATTTATTACTTCATTAATCACGTCTTTAAATTATTACTCTACTGAATTACTAATAGCATCAAGTAAAGCAAAATTAGTATTTACGATTTCCCTACTTTTTTGATCAGCAGCTCTAATTCATCTATGGTCAACGTCAATCTATCTACCTGTATACAAATTCTTGCAAGTGATTACTGTAATACAGTAGAATGGGATTGATTAAGCTAACTCACCATCTTTTGCTAGGGTAAGGAGTTGTTGATCGATTACGAATTAAATTGGAGATGATTTGTCAAGATGAAACTATGGCAACAAGTTAATCGAAAATAACTCTCATGTTTATAGCAGATTATTCCTGCAATGGAATAGAAACCATTATCAAGGAAGATTGGAATTTCAAGAAGCAGACTTCGATAGTCTTGTCGAACAAAATTCATGTAGCTATCTAGCATCATCAACCGAGATCAATCACTATTGAGCAATGAAGTCCGAAATCTTGTAACAAAACGTCGATAACAGCATCATCAACATGATTAATATTAGCAAGAGCACCAAATTATCCGACATTTGTAGTTATATATAAAGTTCTGACTGCTATCATCTACTGTCAGTATACAAACAAACACGAAAATCACTGTTTACTCTTCAATAATTAAATAAATACTCTAACCACATTCCAACGGTCACTAACATAATATCATTTATAGAGTTAATAGCAGGATTGACGCAGCATTGATTTACAGGAAATTGCTGCGATAGTCAGGCTTACGTATATGAGTGAAAATTAGAATATTGACGTTAAGAGATGAGTCCAAGATGATAAACATCACTTTACCCATTCACGATTCAATAAACAAAAATATTATTTATAGAATCAATAGCTCGATTAATACTAGATTGACTAGAGGAAATAGCTGCGACGTTTCGATTAATATCTTAAGATTGGAATATTGAAGGTCAAAAATAAAGTCAAGGATTAAAAGCACATTTCACCCTCAATGATTAATGTATGAAGATTAGAATATTCAAGGGAAATAATAAAGTTGATGACGAGGAACATCATTTTACCCTTCCACAATTCAATAAATACTCTAATTGGATCTCAATGGTCATCGATGTAATGGTATTTATAGAATCAATAGCTCGATTGATATGTGATTGACTACAACAAGTAATTACTACGCTTTGATTAGTATGAAAATTGAAATATTGATGTTATGAAGATATAGTCCAGATGAGAAAAAAAGTTTTGCCCATCAATGACTTAATAAACATTCTACGTAAATTTAGCAGCATAGTGTTATTTATAGAATCAATAGCATGAATGTAAGACCGATTATAGGAAATAGCTGCTACATTTTGGTTAGTTTCAGAAGATTGGATTATTAATATTAAGAAGTTGATGGAATCAAATATGAGATAGACATCTAACCCTTGAATGATTCAATAAATATTTTATTTAGATTTAAAAATTTAACATCCATTCATCAATCTTATTTAGAAAATTGATTGCTCGATTGATACAACATTGATGTAAGTGAAATCGCTGCGACAGTCAGGCTTACATTTATGTATGAAAACTAGAATATTGATATTAAGAAACACTATTTTAGCGATCAATGATAAAATAAACAATAATACTATAGATAATAAACGATTACATCATTAATCCTAGATTAACTAGAGAAAATAGCTTCAACATTTAAGTAAATGTGTGGAGATTGCAATACTGAAAGTAAGGGATAAGGGTTGGAAATAGCTTTTTCATTCTTCATAATTAATGTATGAAGATTAGAATGCTGAAGTTATCAGATAAAGTCGATGATCAGAAACACCGTTTTACCCTTCAACGATTTCATACTCTAACTGGATTTCAAAAGTCATTGGTGCAATGTTATTCATAGAATCGATGACTTAATTGATGCACCATTGACTTCAGAAAATAGCTACTGCATCTTCAGAGTCTATCTATTTTCGTAAGTTATGAAGATTGGAATATCAATGTTTAGAAGACTCAGTCAAAAATGAGTAAAAATATTTTCACCTTTCGATGGCTAAATAAATATTCTAATTGGACTTTAACAGTCATCAGTACAGTGTTATTCATAGAATCAACAATTCGACTGATGCTAAATTAATTATAAGAAATAATTACGACATTTTGATTAGCGTCTAAAGATTAAGCCAATGATGTTAAGATACAATCAAAGATGACAAACACATTTTACCCTTCAATGATTAAATAAATATTCTAATTGGATTCCAATAGTCATCATTACATATTTATTTACAGAATCAACAGCTCCAATGATGCAAGATGGGCTACATTAAATCGCTGCAATAAATAAATACCTGAGTCAAGATTGAAATATTTCATTCAAGAAAATATTTCGACAAAGCATTGCCTTAAATTGTATAGCTGCCTAAGATGATGTCCCTTGTACGACTGATGACCATCACTTTCGTCAACTTGACCTTATTGATACCATCTTCGATCAGCTATCAAGGGTTAAACATGGCTCCATTTGTCGCTGGTTCTACTTCTATGCTGAAGAAAGGCGACCACCATGGAGACTTTGCAGAAGCAACTTTTAATATAATGAAAAATATCAATGAAAGTCTGCACATTTACAATCACGTTAGTTGACTTTTCGTATTTAAAATCTATAACAATTAAAAAAAAATTTTTAATTTCGGTATTCAACGATTTTGTTAGGGGTATCTTCAGTTCATTATTTACATTTAGTTATTAGTGATAATTATTATTATTAATGGTTTAGATAAATCAAATCAAGTACCTTATCCATAATATCGAAAAGGCTAATGGTAATCCACGATGAAATTGATTTTGAATCCAAAACCAATCTACAATAATTATCCTGTTTGCGCTTAGTCCATTGAACGTTAGATCTTATTTCTCTCTTTCTCTTTAGTCCTTAATCATATTTAATTTTTAATTAATATCCAATGACCTCATTAGTGGTAAATTACAAAACTATTTTATAATAAGCCTAGTTGTGATCCACGTAAAAATTGATTTTGATGTAATACTATTACGTAGACTACAGTATTCGTTCGTTATAACTGAACTATTTGTTGATATAGCTCATCTCGTCTCTATAAGTCAGTAAGATGCGTTCTTCGTAAGCGTTGACGTGTGCAGACTTACTTTATCACTAGTGGAAAGTGCCAAATACCAATTTACAACAGTTATTGCATTTGCTCTTGAAAGGACAACATCCCATTTTATCTCTCTCGATTTTAAATTATATTAATCCAATTCATAGAGATTCAATTAGCTAATCACATGTAAATTACAAAACGTTCTTATAAAATGGCTATTGCGATTTGTAAACAAATTGATTTTAAATCTAATACCAGCTTACAATAGTTGATGTTAATGCATTTGCGCTTAGTCTGTATAACAGCGTGATTATATTTTGTCTAGGCAATTTTGAACTATACCAATCCAATTCTCAATAGTTATCCAATAGGCTACTTTGCAGTAAAATAAGGGTTATGTAAAGGGATCTATCATCTATCTAGTAATAACTATCTAGTTACTGTAATATGAAGGCTCAAGTTTAATAGTTCATAGGTTTTATTTGAGTATTCCTTATACGGTAGTTATCGAGGTAGTATCTAGTCAAGAATCAAAATCGAAAAGGCCAGGGTGATTAGATTTAGCCAACTGGAAATCCATGGATTTGTAAATATTTCGGATACTACAGGTACTAGCATTTTAATACATGCACCCAATATTCTGCGATATTACAGTATGTATTTACCTATTGGCAAAAGAATCTAAGCGGCAAACGAAATATATTCTGACTACTAGCTCGTTTTTAAACATATTGCCAAATTTAATGTTAGAAAAGAACAATATCATTTCCTTCATGTATCTCCACATGCATTTGAAAACTCTTCACACTGAAGATTAATCCCATTTATGGTATACTTGATATCGAATCGAGCTTATTTTCCTCAATGTCTTTAAAATAAAATCGTCCGTTGGCGTAATAGAATTCTTGTTATTTGCTTATTCATTCTAAAATGAACTAGAAGTGGTAATGAAATGCAACAGTAATGATCGCTATCCAAGACAACAATACTTGGAATAGACTATGATGATATAACTAGATAACCTTAATCATTGACAAAATATAGGCATAAAAATTGACAATTCTTTTTTTTAGGCTAATAAAGACAACGAGCTATTTCAAAATAAAACACAAGAATGGGTAATTGGCGAAACAGAAGGATGTAGCAAACCGGATAATAATATACAACAATTTTGCTCACTACATTATTATGTTCCTAATGTATTACTTTCTTTTTACAAAAAACATTATGTGTATGACTTCATACGAACATTAAATTATCAAAAACCAATTTTAGGCCGATGTTTCTCTATCATTCGTAAAATTTGGTGTCGATTTTCGTTTCCAAAATGCTCTCATGATTTATCCCATTACATAACGTTCGATTTACGAGATCAATGCCATGAATTGATTCAATGTTCTAATGAAATTAATCTGCCTTTTGCTGATCTAATCGCTGCCTGCCAATCAACACGTCACAGATACGTGGTAGTTGATTATTGTACTGCTTATAATCGAACCAATATCCAGCATCATTATTGCAGTCCATATCCAGATGGATTCCTTTTTCCTGTTGCATTGGCTAAGAAGATGCCAGAACTACTTGATAATACAGAAGAGTTCTTGAGTATAATATCCCAATCCAATGGTATCACCCAAAGATGTATGGATACGGCAGCCCAGTTCTTCTGCCATCGATTTCCAGTATGTGATCAGGATCGAAAACATATTAAAGTATTTTTTGACTGGCAGCAATGTCAAAATGCTGTTGCTTGGTAAGTGAATAACTTCATATTCCATTTCTACTAGTTGTCGCAGTGATAAATTGAATATGAATCAAGTTGATGGTGACTAAAACATATTCTGGCGCTAATAACTAAAGATGGAGTAATTGATCCAAAATTGAAACAATTTGCTAGTTATCAAGAAAATGAGACGTTTTAGGCATGTAAAGTTTAAAAAAATTAATTTAAGCTTCTTATAGCTTATGCAGGCATCATAAACTTATTTATATTTAATGTAAAATACTTGTGCAACTAGCGAAATGAAGTCATTAATAGTGTAGAAGAATTCATCAACTCCATTATGATTACTCATACTAACCAAAGCCTTTCTATTAGCAATGCCTTACCTTAATAATAGCCTTTTCTAGGGTATTCCATAGATCCCCTCTTTACAGGATTGCGTTATCGTATTGAATATTCGTAAATAAGTTACTTTGAAATGCCGTTCGATAGAACTGCTATTAAGCTTTGAAACTGAAAGATATCAAGATGAAGCCCAATTGTAGTATATCCGATAGCTTAACTGGAAGCATCTTAATCATTCTGGATCGCATTAAATATGTCGAATATTACCTTAGCTAACAAATTGCAAGAGCTTACCGATCAATAGGGACTGTTAATGGGCTTTAAAATTAAAAGTAATCAAGATAAAGTTCAATATTAGTATATCAGATATCTCTAATGCAAGCAAGTTGAGCCTTCTAAATAACATTGATTATATTGAATATTAGTGAACAAGTTGCATGAACATTCCGATCGATATTGCTGTCATTAAATTAACAATTAAAAGCTATCGAAATAAAATTCAATTGCACCCTATCAGACGGTTTGAATGAAAGCCAATTGATCATTGTGGATTGCATTGATTATATTGAATATCATTAAATAGTAAGACCGCCATTAAGCTTAAAAACTATAAGCTATCACGAGCAACCCCAATTGTAATACCTCGGGTAGCTTTCATGGAAGCTAGTTGATTATTCAGAAAATACTGGTGGTTATAAGAAAGTGAAAGAAACCAAATTCAATGTTGACTTATAATTTTTTTCTCCAGCTTTATAACGTTTCGTAAACCACAGTATGGATTTGACTTCATCGTATAGAACTGCAAAAATTCATCATTTCTAAATTGATTACGTATGAAATTCTTTTATCCTTATTTTGCTATTCAACTACTTCCTACTTAAGTCGCCACATTCAATGTCATGGCAATAACTCTAGATGATAAAATACTGTAAACTCATACTATGTGTATTCCAATCATTCCTTAGACTCTAGCTATTGATCTAATCTTGCTTTTTTAATCATTAGTCTGCCAGAAAAGACAAGAATCAATTTACGTAAACGTCAATTCTGCAATTACTATCCAAATGTAACTTCTGAAACCAATGGAACATCTTCGTTATCCTTCCAAATCGGGTTAATCAATGCTACCGCTTTGATTTTGTTATTCTTAGTACCACATCAATTAATACATCTTCTTATAAATTGTACTGGAAATTAAAAGATAACTTCGCTACAGATTTGAAAAATTACCTGAGAAATAGATTTGTTCGTCGTTCAATTTCGTCTTTATAATATTTATCCGTATTCTTACTTCAGTAAGGATAGTCTATACCAACATCTCTATTTCAGTCATAAATTTTCCATAGCATCGTAATGAAGGTTTAATTTTTAGAATACTTCTTTAAGCTTTAGCGTTATAATAAGTATCATATCTTTAAAATAGCTAATTTGATTTGATTGCATTCGATTTTACTTGATATCTTAGTATATTACAAACTTAACTTCTACTTTATTCGCGTGGATCTGCCGAACAATCAGCAGATTCATTTTGGTAAAAAGGATGTAATGTAAGTTTGTAATTGAAGGAATATATGTGTATTTAATCTGCATAGCATATACGCTACAATTTTGATAAAACTGGAAGCTAATTTTGATTCTAAAGTGCAGTACGAATTACACTATTTTGCTATTGAAAGTAGTATAAACCCGAAAATTTTGATCCGAGTATCATATCGAAGAAATTATGATTCTGTCTTATTTTTCTTATAGATAGTTGTTATAAACAGCAAAAAGTTACAATTTAAAGTTCAATAAAGATTTTCATTAATTAGGTCTTCTCGCATATGTCTTTTCGCATATTTAGGATATCATTTATCTAATCCTACTTATTTAATAGCTTGGTTGATTTAGAGTAATTAAAGTAATAAATTTAATATCTGATATCACTAAATGCTTGAGCAGCATTTACAAGAAAATGTGGCTCAGTAGTCAAGTAGCTCAAGAAAGTATGAAGTAAGAAGACTTAGAATTAAGCCATTTTTGGGATTTAAGAATAGTCTCCTTCGAGTTAAATAGTTTAGTTGGTCAAATTCGTAGTCTACCCTTTTATAATACTTTTAAACATGGTAATAAAGATAAACTGGGTGTTACAAATTATAATAAACTAGTGTTCTACCCTAAACCCAATATAAGTTCGATTTCAAAGGTATTCATTTTTTCAATAGTTTCTCGTCCATTACTACTTGATTTCTTATTATTTCTTAGGTTTAATACAGAAATACCTATCATATACATTTTATTTGATAGCTATATCTTTATACTACTTATAACAGTCGAAATCTACAACTCTTTCTCTATAGTAGCTTGTCCTTGGATACACATATTATCAGCGAGATTTAATACTATTACACGTGTAGTATAGTATATTGGAGTACCTAATATGTATCTTTACATTATTTACGATATTTTTAGGTTATCAAGGACAATCATCTTCATCTATATCTTTGTAGTAACTTGTACAGATGATCTCTTATATTTCTACTACTTAGATGTAATATCAATAAAACTACAGTAATAGAGAATTGAATATGTATAATTATACTTTTTATTGATAATCCCATATTTTACGCTACTATAAGCAATATACATCCACACCTTTATTTTTGTAATAATTTGTCCATTTGATCCTTTATTGTATTAGTACTGAAATTGAATACTGTGCCATAATGAATATCGCATTGGAAAAGGCAACATATACTTATTTACCATCTCATATTTTTCCGCTACTAAGGCCCAATTCATGTCTGCATCTCTATCGCTGCAATGACTTGTCAATAGTATGTCTTATTTCATTCCTGAAATTGAACTTACCTTATTTTCAATGCCATTATAAGTACAATAATGGAATAGCTATTACTTACTTATTATTTACACTTACAAGTATGCTAAAGTCTAAAAAATATTTATGGATATTCTATGATGAGACGATTCCATCACTGATGTGTGAGTTCTTATTACCCATAATATTTTCTTACCGTAATAGTTATCATGGAAAGAAGCGATTAAAACTTGGAATTGATGCAAAATGAGCCAAATTGTATCGTGCTATACTTAATGAGATTACATCAACTGACTCCTATTTACTTTACCAGTAGGGAATGAGATCAGTTGAATTTAATTGGGTATAAGTATTTTCAGCATCAGAATGTGAATCGATTTTTAATCAGTAAAGAAAAATAAATACTACGCAATTCAAAAGTATCGATTATAATTTTTTCGTAATCCATTTATCTAATAAATTATTCATAATCAAACCACAGGCCAATAGGCAACATAAAAATTATGTTCCATGCAATTATAAATATAAATATAAATACAAATACAAATATAAATATAAGTTATAAATTATTTGCCAGAAAAATAAACACTATGGAATTCTAAGTAATCTGCTAAAATTTTTAAGCCTGTTTAGGGTTGAATAACCGTTTTATTATCAAGCTGTGGCCTACTCTTCTACATACACTTTACTTTTTATAAAATACTGAAGTCTTTTCTATGAAAATACAAGGCCTTTAATTTAAGGAATTTGCTGAAATTCTTTGTCAACCTTATATCATTACATCAATACATCTTCAATTTCGAAAGTATTCAAAATTAAATACAATTTTACGATTGCAACTTATTTTTGTTGGTTACTTTTAATCGGATATTGAATAATGTTCATAATTAAAAACTCAAGCCCAAAAGCACTTTAACCTTAGAGAAAATTCTATATCTAGCTCAAATTGACACTATTTAGCGTTAATCCGAAGGCATTCATACTGTCTATAGATAAATGGTATCTATAAAGATAATTTTAATTTTAACTGCTATCATAGAATCGTTTAGTTTACCGATGGAAATTTAGACGCGATTGATGATGAAAAATATATCGACATTATTCAAAGCCTTAAGGCCGATACTTTACAAAGATATCGAAGAAGCTTGAAGGTTATCCAACGAAATATCAGGGATTGAATAAATTATAAGTTTTACAGTTATAATGGTTCATTTCTAAGTGATAACACTGCTTTTAAAAGCGCTATTTATGCCCAGACTTAAATCGGTCCTATTTTGGTCTAAAATTGATTATTAAACAGATCAGAATTTCTTGATTGAATTGCACACCTGCATGCGAAATGTAGACTGTAGCTCAGCTTGAAATCAGTCATTAAATTGAATTTCTTATTCTATTGAAAGAACTTACAGTTTGCATAATAGTAGATTTGAAAAGTAGTTTACAGCTTCTAAAGAAGTTGAGAATCCTATAAGCAATATTGCTGACAAGGATGGAAATGCATTTAGGAACTGTGGAGATGAGCTTACATAGGAAAGAGAGGCTTCACTTCACTTTGAGCTCGGAATATTTTAAATTTTAGATTAGATTTTTGCTGTGGTTGATTATTGCTCTACTATTCTTAAAAACCTTGTAGTAAAAGCCTTTTAGAAAACGCCATTTGACTAAGACCATTATTGTGAGACACTTTTATTACATTAGGATTGACCTTAGAATATTAGCAAGTTTATTGCTCAATTTCACGATAATAATTTTGTACATCCAATTAAGGTATTCTTCTCCAACAGCAAGGATTTATTTATTAGCAGCTCATCTGGCTATCAATACTTCTTTCTTTGATGGCTGAAGGTAGTATCGCCATTTCTCATTATTGAAACATTTTCTATTCTCCTCCTTAATCCACTCTTACAAGGATATGATCGTGTTGGGATTAGGAAATTTGAAATATAAAATTGATTACAACCGGTATTCCTATTTGAGCAGTTTTTCCACGTGGCAAATGAGTACATAATCTTGGTTGGTATCGATTGGCCCATCTTTAAAAATAGCAGTTCTTGTTCCCTCAATTTTTCTATCTTGTTTTACTGTTCCTTACTATCATAAGGAGGGAAAATGCTCGTTTTAGTGGGCACTGGTGTGTATGTGCTATGTTTACAAAGTCATCACTAATTATAGTAAAACATAAATAATAGCTAGGTGTTTATCATGAAGACTCATCCTACGAATGCTGCATCCACTGAAATTATTTACATTGCTGTATTATGATCATAATTTGATTGCAATAGTTCATTTCCTGGACATCAGAAATTAATATGTTGGCAAAGTGGTATGAGCGGGTTTAGTTTAAGTAATTAATTTGCTTCACGTAAAAGCAGAGTATCAATATTATCATCAAAGATATTACTTGTATGTGATAGTTAAATAATTAATTAAAATCATTCTAAATCAAAAATTCTTTGGCTTTGTATATTTTTTATTCCTTGCCGTGTACTTTGAATTTAAAGATAGTATTAATGCTACCTTTTGCTCTCAATTGCCTCAATGTAGCCTCTTCGCAAGTATAATATACGAACTGAATATAACATTAGTATATTGGTCTTTGGAGAAATGGGAATCTTGTGTTCGACCAGAAGCTATCCTCCGGCTACATTGTAATCTACCTAAAACATACAGTGTTGCAACCTTTTAAGCTTTGAACGATATTTATTCATTTGTTAAAAGCACATATGAATTGATGGTGATTCGAAAACTATCACCATAGTATAAAAAAACTACTCAAAACTGCCTTTGCCAAAGTTATCTACCTTCATGCTCAGCTGACTCTTCAGCCTTTGCTTACCAAAATATGACCAAAACTTGCGTCGAGTTGAAGAAATACCTCCATCAAGGGGAAGGTTATTTAGCTGGCTACGAGAATAGTTGTCTAGCGACTACAAGCCGACAATATAATTATAGCTACTGTCTTTCATTAAATTCGCCAGTCCTACATCAGACATGCAAGCAATTTCCAAGAATGTCACATTTCCTACCTGGATTTTTCCCACTATTCTAGATCACATCATAAATGTATAGAATAGAGTTCACAACATAGCAAATCTTGTTGGACCTTCTCAACGTTGCAAAAGTATTTGGGCTATTTGCACTTGTCTGAAACTTTTCATTTTGCGGCCATGACTAGAAAAGAATAGTTAACGTAGCCAGTAAAAAGCAATGCATAGAGGCCATAAAAGGGTAAAACTATTAGAAGAACGAGTATACTATCTCAATTGTTGACCGCCACCGGTATTTCTTTAAATTTATCGTGCATCCCCAAATATTGCTTGGAATATGATTGTAAGACTCTACGAGAGTAGTAGTACTCATTTGTTAGACAGTATGATTTTGAAGATATCTATTTGTAGCAAAGGTTTACATGCGTATCACCTTGATACTATTGAAATGTTTATATTAAGATTTCATGATAATAATAGATAGTGCAAATTATGTAAGTGCTCAGAGAGTTGTTTTGTGGCGCTTTAATTAGACGCGTGAATAATGAATAGCTTGCGCGATGAAAGACTGCTATCTTGCGACTTAATTAGCAAGATATGATTGCAATGTGTAAAATTCATTCTGTAATAAAGAGTATATAAACCGCGAACTTTCGCTGTAAAAGATAGTCCTATTGAAACTAGATAGTCCTTGGTAGTTAGGGGACGAACCTAATCTTATGTAATAAAGTGAAATTTATAAGAAACTGTAGTTCATGCTGTATTTTTGAGAAGACACTTTATTACAAGATTTATATTACAGAATTTGATTTATCCAATTTGTTGACTACACAAAAATTTCCCATTAGCTCTTATTTGCATGGCATAACTCGATATGCTACGGCGGGTATGGCAAGGTGGATATGAATTCTGCAATGATATTCTAAGCTTTCTTCAAATTTTAATTTAAACACGAAGTTGTCAACTACGTAGAATTCTCTTATTATGAGTTCGGCATAGTAACACCAAAATTACGGATGCCGCGATTATTTCTTACCTAATGATAACGTTAGGGTATAGCTTGATCTAACAAGATATGATCGAAATTTTTCACACTCCTCGTTATCATAATATAAAATTGTTCACAAAGGCAAAGCCTCCTGTCTAGCTTTACATGTCAATATAGCAGAGTATAACCTAAAATTTAAATGATGAACAGAAAAGCATACACTCGCTAAAACCTTGAATTAGATATATTTTGGCCTCCAAATTGCGCAGTATAACAAGTATTATGAATAATTTCTGCTCTAACATTTTATAATAACGAATAGTGACGAGCGAAAAATACCAATAATGCCTCTATAACAAAGTTGATAGCACAGTTCTCTGCTTCATAATCCTAGACTATTAATCTAAAGTAAATCGGTGTCTTATTGTGACAGAGCTACGACCCAATCATTGAAAAGTTGAGCACACTTTTTCTCAAGCAATATCGGAAAGATCAAATAAATAAACAGAGGCTTGCTAAACAGACATAAACAAAAACTTGATATCCAATAATAACTGGTAACCATTCAATCCATGAAATGGTTACAAGCATCAATTTCTAGTTTGCATCCTCTGTAATCTAACGGCCGCGAAAGAAGATTCTGACCCATTAAAAGATATTCGGTGACCCAAGGTAGCATAGAAGTCCTTTTTAAACCATTTCACAGCGTATTCATTTAAGTCCTTACCTCTGTGATTTTTATTGACTAGCAGGAGGAAAGCTTTAAGAGAAGAAACCAATTGACTAACATGTTCAAGTCAATACTTCATTCTGTTCTAGTCATATCTAATTTATTTGGCAGCCATCCTGCCCGTGCTTCCAGTCAGGATCATTTCCAAGATGGCGGTTCTATGTTATTAAATTCAGTCAAGGATGTTCTGTTGAAGAGCAAAGTAATCATTTTAGGTAAAGTCTGCTAAGTGATGGCAGTCTATATGACAAGCAAACTGCTAGTTTTACGTACTACCTATAAAGTCTCATTCTAAAGCCAAGAATTACCACTGCAGCCACCATTCTAATTAGTATGAAATGGTGCTATTTTACTTTATATTATTCCAGTGCGAATATTTCTAGGTGCAATAACAGATTAATTTTCTCAAAACTATTTGCAAAGAGACTAGTCAAGTTGTACCGATTAACAAAGATGATTTTTGCACAAGAGAGAAGAACTCATTTCAGTCTATCTTACACACTCTTGATATAATCATAAAATTGAAATGGGATCGATACTGCAGGTTAAACATACACTAAAAATTTCTCTAACTCCCATTTAACTAAATTTCATTCAAATAATCTATTTCGTCTATAACGAGTGTATAGCTAACTTCTCAGCTAAGCATCACATCGAAATTGATCGAGGCTACTCAACGACAAGTCTTGAGATCGAAAGCATTTTACTACATTGAATTCTTTCATTTATTTCCTTCCGTAATCCTCATGTGTTCGTAAAAGTTTTAATGAATCCAAGCAGAGCATCATCCATCAACATCGGCTCAAATTATCTCTTTCCATTTATATCTTTTGCAAAGCAGAGGTAGCTTTCTCAATGAAACATGGAATCTAAATTCATTGAGATTACTCCGTAACGAGTTTCCAAATCGCATGCATTTTATTCAATGATTTCTTCTTTTCCTTCGGTAATCTTCATGTCTACATGTCAAAGTTTAATAGATCCAAACTGAGCATAATTCATCCTCATAGGTTAAAATAATCCATTTCTTAATATATCAGAAACTACTCGCTATACATTCCATTCATGTCATTTAAAGTAATCTATTCTCTACTTCATCTTTGAGGCGTGCAATGCTAAATCGATCTAGACCTCTCAGAACGAGTCTACCAATCACTTACAGTTTATTCAATGATTACGTGTATTCCTTCCGTAATTTTGACATGCTCGTAAAATTGTAATAAATGTAAAATGAGCATTATTCATCAACATCGTTGATAATCCTTGAAATCGATGAAAGTCTTAGCTATAATCTTTCGAGGATTATCAATTTAGAAGTTGATAGTTATGCATGACAATGAAGGACTGGGATGATTAAGTGGAAGAAAATGATCGTTTCGACCTCTGTAAAACAAATCCAAATCTTAACATTCCAAAATTAAAAGTACTACTGCAAAGTGTAAATCTAATATTCAGCCAAGTCTATTTTCCTATGCCAAAACTTGTATCCTTGACCCAATAATTTCATAGTTTTACTGTGGTCAAGCAGTGTCAAATTATAACTCATTCTCGTAGATAATTTCGACTTTAAGCCGACTACAACATTGCCTTACTGATATAGTGTCTTTTCGGCAAAAATTCGATTTATACAATTTTACAACCTTAATCTGCAGATGTGCATTAAAAAATAGGGTAAAGTAGAGGGTTACACGTTTAATTTCATTAAATCTCGACTTCTCGTCAATGTTGGCTACATTAAACTTCCTTAAAGAATTCAACTATTACTTATTTAGACCACTCGATCGATGGCTAAACGACATTCTCATGAAGTGACAGTTTGGGTAGCAACTGATTTAAACTCTTGCAGTTTACCTGGCAGTAACATCCAAACATTCTGTGGTATCAGTTATAAAGTTCCCACCATTATCCTTAATCGAATATCGCGATTTTTAATGTTTGCAATGAACAGCTATGTCATGATCCAGGCTCAGTTACCCAAGGCTTGTGCTGAAGCCGTCAAGAATATGATGTGCAAATCCGCTTTACCTCAATGTTCTGCTGATGCAACATCCTTTACCTATCAGAATTATACCACAGACTGCACGACAGTCGGCTCTTGCTGGCCATTTTTTGGCTACAACTCTAAAAGTTACACTGGAACATTAAGTTTTGATGCCGATCAGCGCTACGATTTGGCTAAATGTGTACCTACACAAGAAAAAGCCATCGAAGCTCAATCCTGAGGTCATTTACCTCAAGATATTCAATTTCCTACTTGGATGTTAACTAATATACCCTACCAAAGACTAAATATTGCTACCCTAAAGACCGGTTTCATGCAAGCCATTATAAGCAAAAGTTGTACGACAAAGTGGCTTGACATTACTTGTAATGTTGTTCCGTTTTGTAGCGCTGATGGCTCGAAGATTGTTGGTAGAGTCACCAAAGAGCAAAGCCAAGAAGGCATAAAATGGTAAATGATTATTATTTTTATTCTAGTTGAAACACGAAGTAGTATTTATCAACTGTTAAGGTTTTGGTTCTTGACGACAATTCCTTCTCTTGCATTGGCTTGCCAGCGGTCTTTCGAAAAGGGTTTGAGCAATCATTTAGCTGTGCTCACTTTCCTGAAGCAGAGTCCACAAAGTTAATGATGTCTAGCCAACAGGCTTACTCAGCAACAAATAGTGCTCTCAGAGTTATGATGAATTTGCTGTTACTATTTGCAGGGTATTTTATCTCCACTTCTTTATAGATTCTAGGTGAAATCTTTCCATATGCTTTAAGTTTCTTCGCAATAGATATAATTTACGATGGTACCCATGTTATTAATTTATTTAGTAGAGCATATTTTTTAGGTATATTGCACGTTAGTTGGCTAATTCAATGTTAATTGGTAACAGAGGCATGGTATTTTTTTAATATCTTGTTCAATTTACCTCATGATTTGTATTACTCCTAATTTATGAGATATTGCCTCTACAATCCACATTCCGAGAAGTTAGTGCTACTCTCAATCCATGTTTTTTAAGAATAAGCATTCGGACAAACTCTAGCCGGCAACATTGACATTATTTCGTGAATGATCGTTCAAGCTACCGTATCGTTCTTATTGCCTAAGTCTTTTCTATCGATAAGTATTGCTATGATTTTAGAATACTAATATCCTCACTTACTTTAATGAAAAAGAAAACTTGCTATAACTAATACTCAAGGTTTGATTAATATTGCAAAAGCATCTAAGATTAGAGCAGTGTAAATATTCATGCTCCGAAACGCCTACATTCATGGATGCCCATTTAGCCTGTATTTTCTATACTGAATCGATTTAAAGGCCACAACTAATTTCATTAGGGAGCTATCAATATTACGAGGCATAATATTGGGTACTTGCTTAATTGCAATGCCATGTGTACAATTTATTTCAGCCAGATTCTTTCGCTGCAAAAAAATATTATAGATTGTCTTTCAATGCCGGATATTTATAAATGTTGTTGGTAAAGTAATAAAGCTACTCGGAAAGGAATAAAATGTAGACAGTGTTATTTTGAAGTATTCTTATGTTCAGATAGTTGAATATCCTGAAACAGTAACTGATATGATGATGGCGTAGAATATCCATACAACTGGAAATTATCACTATAAGTTAGTAATGATAGATAGTTATTCTAGCAAAAGGATCAACTCATGCGATATACGGAGCAAATTAATCAGGCTATCGTTTTCCGGGTGTTCAAAGATTTGTAATTCGCACCTATACTAATCTTCCTATGATAAACTACTAGTTTCTCATGCAATAGCTAATCCTATAGATATTTTTATTCTCCCTTAGTTCATGAATATTTCTCTCACGTTTTAGACTATGCTATACTGTTCGCATTGAACGATAATGGAAACTAGCATATAAGTAGCACATTTTGTTAAATAAGAGTAGAGTATGGAAGTCTACAATATTCCTTGCTCATCCAATGCCCTTTAAAATCAGATAGAAGTTGTCTATGTCATTTATTCATCTATCAATACATCAGACTATTACGTTAAGTAAGTCACTAATAGGAAATTAATAAATAAGATTCATCCATTAAGATATGTCTACATCTTATAGCTATTAATATAATAGATATCTTGTCAATTAATGCATTTGCAGAAGCCAAGAAAATGCTATCATAGCGACTGTCAAGAGTATTAATTTAACTAAGGGCAAACGCAAAGTAAATTCGATATAAAACAGAATCTATTTCAATATTCAAAGATATGATTTAAGTGCATTTAGAGTAAACATTTACTTTTTTTAAATAACTTTACTTTAATTTAGTTCAAAATTATTCTCCAATAGATCAAATGTATCTGATAAAATTCACTAGATTATTTTTTTCGTAATTTTTTCCATATAGAGGAAAATTACGACAATAAGTTGACTCTAAATGGATGTCTACGACGAATTTAGATATTGATAGCTACGATTCCTAGCTGACTAATAGTGTGAACAGTTGAGTATTAGCTTAAATATTTCATGTCACATCTCAGTAGAAATAACAACGAGACCTACTCTATTTTATAAAAATACTATGCTACTTTCTCTCTCCTATATGCGATTACTTTAATTTTATCTTTTTAAGTGATGAAAAATAATTAATTCTACGCGTAAGCTGCTACACGAAAGAGCTTCCCTTTACAAAATTATATAGGTTAATAAAACGATTGTAAAATATAAAAGAAGCCATCGCAAGTTATCGCCTTCGATCGATTCTGTACCATTTGAATAAGCACATTCACTTGACATAATTTCTTTTTCGGAATTTTCGTCTGGATACGCATTGCAATCGACCGTTAAGAGTAGAAATTTTCGAATTCGATCAGGTAAGCTAAAATGTTGTCATGGAAGTGCAGGAATTAGAATGCTGTCATGATAGATATTTAAGGGTAAAGGGGAAAACTGTCAACAGCAGAAAGATTGTCAGAAAGTAGAAATTAGTTTGTCGTATCCCTTACCAGTTTAATGCCGACTGGCATTGCTGTTGCGTAATTCCACTTACAATTTTATTGTGATGGCTGCTACAAAATGGAGCACTTAAGCAATACATATTAACCCATTTATCAATGCAACGCGAATTTACGCCTTCATGACTATAGCTTCTTCGAATTAGAGCTTTGCTTTTTGATTTCTGCTCAATATTTGGAATAATCCATGTAGGAAATGTAATTTGCTTGGGTAATGGACCGCAATTTTGTAGGTTAATAGAGGTTACATTAGCTTTCTTACATACTTTTAAATCAAATGTTTGACCAGAAACTTGACAAGATTGCATCCAACTTTGATCTGTAAGACTAGTAAAAGACGATGTACACCAACGCACTTGTGCACAAGCTTGTTGAATATTTGAATAGGAAGCGGTTACAGTATCTTTAGAACATTGAGGTAGGGTTCCTTTGCAGAGCACTTCCTTCAAGCTGTACAGACAATCAGTCAACATTTGCGATTTTAGAATCTTGAAATTTTTGATAATAAACTGAAAAAGTCGAGAAGTCCTCTTGGCTATGACTGTGGGAACTTTATATTCGATCTTGCAAAAGGATCTGATGTTCTCATCAGGTAGGCTGCATGAATCGATATCGCCAGCAATCCAGACAGTGACATTTGGCTTGGCGATTTCTCTTGTTTGCTACAAAGAAACAAAGTTAAAATGAATGTATTCATGTATTGAAAATTCTGTTTTCCAGCTATTTTGGTATTTGAGATTATACGAGTTTTGAATTGCAATTCTAGTAGCTCATCTAACTATATACATTTAGTATCTTAGTTGATTTATAATTTGTCATGCAATCCTTTCATTGCTGCTAGTTACATAAAAGTGAAAGAATCAAAACTGTTTGTATGAAAAAAGAGATCTATAGAAAAGTAGAATTAAGCAGCCTGCTAATCAATTATGTATCCTAAATTATTCGTTATTGCTCTAAACATGAGCAGCTAATCTAAGAGTCAAGCAGCCTGCCCATCAATAAACTATCATAAATTATCCATCAAAGCTCTAAACTTGAGTTACCAACCTTAGAATCAAGCAGCATGCTAATCAATAAGGAATCGTAAATCATTCGTCAAGCTGTCAACATGGGTAATCAACTTTTAAGGTTGAGACTCAATCTTACCTCTAAAGAGCGTTTTTCCATGGTAAAATTAGAAGCGACTGGTTGTTGCATCATTAAATGAACTGTATTATCCAGCAAATTGAAATGACTGCTTAAGATAGTTGAGGGGTGGCCAATTTGCCCTTTAATGCTGCTGAAGAATAATGTCGCTATTAAAATAACCGCTATCCAGTTTTGCGAAGCCATTCCGAAAGACAATCTAAAATTGAATGGCATTGATTTTTATTTAATAGTTATAATGAATATGGAATATAAATTGACAAGCATCACCCTGCAAATTATCTGGACTTGTTCCCTTAGAGTATTTCAATTCAAAAATATGCGAAAAAGTGAACATTCAAGGGAAAGAAAGTCATGCAGTTGAGAATAAAATCAAATATGCCCGAGATAGTGATTTTTACAACTATGCAAATATTTTTTTCCATAAATTAACAGTATAATTTAAGAATCATAAGCATCAATTGGCCATTCTAGTGCATATTATTCATTATTTTAATGGCTCGATATGAAAATTTAAGGACTCAAGATACTATCAATAGACAAGATTGCATCGAACTTAATAAGCATACTTCATTGCAACAGCGTAATCTCTCTTCAATTTCTCAAAAACCAGCGAGAGGGAAATCTGTCTTAGATTGTATCTTCCGTTTTCTAGCTAAGGATTGGATAGATTGAGGTGGGCGGATAGTTCTTCTTGTTGGATCAGCTAGAGGATGAGAACAAGCTATTAATAACTCTATCGGCAATATTTGTCTTCAATTAATAGTATCCATACTAATTGCAATTATTCTAGTCCATTAGACCAACATCGGCTAGCCCATTGGCTATGCACAATCTCATTAACAAAACAATTCTTCTGATCGACAGTATTTAAAAGCTAGCTACAGACGGTAGTGCAAGTCAATTAATTATATAAGTAGAATTAAAAACTGTATGCCCTATCGGATCGAAGAAAATGGCGTAAGCAATACTTGCAATGACTGCAATCAATTGAAATAGCGTTGACCTAGAACCAATCTACTCTAGTCATTCCTACCTCCAAACTGCTCCCCTGCAAAATCATCCAACGATTTGATTAGCTGCTAAAGTATTTATTTAAATACGATTTTTTTCAATACTCAATTCCAATTATAGTAGCTATTTATAAAAGCTCACGTTATTGAATATTATTCGAGTAATATCTATATGTATACTTAATAAATTGACAGTTATCATATTTGGTCATAGTAATAGGTGAGAATATATTCAATATTGTCGCGACTACTCCATGATGCTAATTTAGTATAGGTTGGCAATGATGCAAGAGCAACTCCATTTAATTTCTATCATGCCAATATTACGATTACGTCTATCATCATGACATCACAATAACGTCACTTAAATGGACAATAATTTGTCTTCCTGAAATTAGAACAGCATTCCTATTGGAAAATAGGAATAGGAGGGATTACGAAAATAGGAATTAACATCATAAAATCAATTAGCGAACCAATAGCAAAGGGTTTTGATGACGCCAGTTTAACGATACTCAGAAACCGGCAAATGGGAAATCAATGAAGCCATTTGGATAGTTTAGAAGAACTGACGAAATGCTTTTTCTAGCTAGGTTTGGCCTGATTTAAAATAAATGCATATTATCAATACTGGAGGCAGTAGCTAGTTAAAAATACTTGAAGAGGAGAAAAGTGTGGATAAAGATGACTGAAATTGGTTGAAAAGAGGCACTAGGAAGAAGAATGCATCGTGGAGGAGAATATTGTAGGCCATCCCTGGCTTACAGAAACATCATAGAAAATGGCGCTTCCTATTTGGATCAGTGGCTAATAAAGAAAGATTGAATATTCTGGACAGCTTGTGGCAATCGCTTATCTATACTATTACGGGTTAAAATGGGATAAAAGGACGCTTGAGGAAATCAATAACGTATTAATATTCAAATAATAGCCTTCCTGATCCAAGAGAAAAGGTAGGCAATGTACAAAGTAGTGAATTAAGAAAAGACAGAGTAGATAACTAGTACAGCAGTACTGAATGGATTGATTTCTTTTTGTAATCACTATTATCAGATTGGTAGGCATGCTATTTTGACAGCTATGTATATAAAAACAGGCTAGCACTCGTCAAAATCGATTCATCAAATTAATCGATGGTTGCTGATTAACATTCGTACACAGATTGGACAATCCGATTTTTATACGGTATTACTTTAGCATTCGGCTCTCCTAGTTTAAGAGGGAATTGAAAAAATGATTTGCTCTGGTAATTAAAATGCGTTTGTGGACCTATTAGGGTGAATAAGCTTCATTTAATGGGCTTCACATAATTTTACTTTAGCGTTCCTCTCTCTTAGTCTAGAAAGAAATTGAAAAACTCCTTTACTCCAGAGAGTGATTTGAACAGTAGAGGTGTGCATATCAACGAGGACAACTTAATTTAATGGGATTCATACAATATTAAGTTAGCATTTTGCCCGTGCTAGTCTAGAAAGACTCCTTATACTTTAGTAATTGAACGGCATAAGTTTGCATATCAAGGTGAATCAGCTTAATTTAATTGGATTCACACAATATTATGTTAGCATTCTGCTGTACTAGTCTAGAAAGACCTCTTATACTCTAATAATTAAACGGCATTAGTTTGTATATAAAGGTGAATCAGCTTAATTTAATGGGACTTACACAATGTTACGTCAACATTCTACTATCCCAGTCTAGAAAGGAATTATAAGAACTTCTTTACGCTATAGATTAATAGTATTAGTAAGCATACCAAGCGCGAATAAGCATAATTTGCAAGCTTCACAAAATATTACGTTAGCATTCTGCAATCCTAGTCCAGAAAGAAATTCAAAACTTCCTCTACCATAGAGATTAAACAGCACTAGTGGGCATATTAGTATGAGCAAGCTTAATTTAAAAGGATTAGTTTCTATCACTTGTTATTTCATCAAATAAGCGTTAACAGAGCAAGGAATATCTCATAGAATAAATTATTCATCCCTCACATAGTTATAATCGCAACGAATAAATATCATTAGCTAAGATTAGCGTATACGCATAAATCCCAAGTTACCATTCCTTATCATTTCCTTAAACGAGTATTGAACTTATTAGCTAACATTGGTGTTAAATAGCGTAGGACTCTTCCCATATTACATCAAAGAGAGTGCATGGACAAATCCAGGAATATTGTGAGGAATAATAAGTTCCTTGAGTCACGTATTTGCTATTATCTGAATTAATATTATTATCTAACATCGGGTAAATAGTCACATCCGTTTCTTTCTTTCTCGACAAACCAATATTGATAGATCAAGAAATATATTATGGAAAATGCAAGAGATGAAGCACATGACCTCAATTTATCATAAATTATAAATGAAGCATTATGAGCTGAGGTTTACTTAAAATATTCCAAGACATCGTTTCATCTTTAGAGGTAAAAAGAAAGAACTTTTTTCGCTTCTATGGGTTTTATTGAACATGTATATGCAATAATTATAATGAAGGGGAATTATCTGTATAACAATTAAAATATAAATAGTCAGTCAACATCGGGTATATTGGAGTATATTAATTTCTTGTGTGTGGAATGGCTAAAGATAAGTCAATGTATCACTATCACTAAATAAATGCAAAAACGCTTTGTTACAGTTTTTAGGTCTTATCATCATATCAATATTGATAGATTTGAACAAGTATTTATTAACACAGTAAGCGAAATGGTAAATCCAATCGTTAATATAACCTATTTAACGGTACCTTTGATAATGTTATCATTCAATTTTGAGCGGAGAATTTTATAATATCAGATCGAATCGATTACTACCCATCCATCAACGAATGAATAGCACCCTTAACATTTAATGTATAGAAATACGAAATTATGAACATATGACTCGTAATGTAAAAATACCTGTTGGAATATTTTTTCTCAGAAAACAGAGAATTTCATTGAGACCATGATAGGTTTTATCAATGCTGTGAGTTATGAGATTTTTGTAAAAGACAAGTAATACCGACATAATGACCTGTGAACATTGCTTTGAACTTTATTGCTTGATCGCGACTTCGTGAGCAATTGAGTATATGCCTTATATCATGATCATGTAATAATATAATGTCTAAAAACAGGATGCTGTCAGCATAATTTCCATTACAATATAAGAGTGTACTGAATGACTAACTTTATTTCTAATTCTTACTGAGAAACCTTAGAGAATACTACCGTGCTGTATGAATTTATGGTTGCTATATATTACTAGATACAGTACCCCCTCACTCATCCGAAATCTTAGTAGCTTAGTCGATAGTCTCCATATCTAAGAGCAACGCAACATATCATCCTTAATAACTTACTATTGTTAATGAATGAATAGCACGCATATAGCGAAGCGAAAAGCCTAAGTTCAATAGCATACGAGCATAGCTGATTAATTTCAGAAAATAACAAATATGCTTAAAGTAAAATAATTACAAAAGACGAGATAATATTACATTTATATAATTTCATTAGAGCGGTACGTAAGAGCTATAGAGTGAATAATAAAGCAAGATAAACCTCGTTAACAGATTTAAAAATACTCTCGAAGCTGAAGTAATTACTTTTATACTCGAAAATAGGCATATATTTTAGGGGGCTGATCAGGTGAAGAACATAGTTGATCTAGCCAGTGGTGGATGAAAATAAATAAAATTGTAGCAAAGAGAGCTATTGAATTATATCAGCGATGAATAGAAGTATTTACTAGAAAGTTATTTACAGTTAAGTATATTTTAGCATTGATAGACTGGAATAATATTTACATTAATCGATTGCGTAAACATGATAATAATTTATTTCATGTTCAAAGGAAATCAATGAAATGTATGTAAAGATGATCTATAGTTGAATCAAGCTAATTTTAGAGTGCAAAATCATTATTGTATCTTATGGATAGTGATTGACTTGAATATCTGCTTAAAAATACAATTAGATATTTACTGCAAGGACATTAGTCAAATATAAGATAGCCATATATGAAATATTGTCATCTAAGTAAATGAAACGGAGTTTATCTTTAGTATGATCTCTTCTTTCGGAAGATTACCAGAAGTAGCTTAAAATGCATATTCCTGTTTTTTCAACAACAGGTATACATAAGTTCATGATCTTATATAAGACGCATTAGTACATTCTGAAATAAC